TCAGGGAGTTGATTGGTAGTGGAGTCCTGTGAGGTTATGACTTGGAAAGGTTTTCCAAGCTGTCCCAAGTTCTTTTCTCTTCCAGTGCGTACACATAGTTGTTTCCATAATACCGTAAAATTCCGAAAATAAGCCCCGGGGCTTATATTTTTCAAAGGCCCTTTTTGAGGGGCTTATATTTGGAGGGGCTTATCTACGGAGGGAAATTTGCATTTCAAAATCGATTGGGCTAGCCGTATAGTTGTAAGTAAATTTATCATTTTTGCTTTGTTATACTTTGTATTTGAGGGCAATTTTCCAAGTACAAGCCCCCGGGGGGCTTATATATTTTGGAGGGGCGATTTAATGGAGGGTTTTTTGCATTACTGGTTTGGGGGGCTTATATTTGGAGGGCTTATACATGGAGGGGCTTATTTTGGGAATTTTACGGTATTGTTGTCTTGATTGCCTGAACGAAGTTTGTCCAAATAGATAGACAAATAGACAGAAAAATTAGATGGATCATTGGTCCAAAATGAACACTGGCCCATTTCCATATCAAGACAGATTATCCATCTGACAGAGATTAATGAGATGCATTTGTCCACTTGGGAAACACATTGTCCACTTGTACAAGTTGTAAAACATAATTTTCACTCTTACCTTGTCAACAGTATTCGACAACCCTCACTGACATCATATACCTATGCTGGCTGATGCTGTCTAACCATGGCTTTCTGCTACCTGCCCACACAGCTAACTGCCCACACAGGGTAACTACCCCATCCCTAGTAATAGAACTTGTTGTGATTCTTTGCCCCACAGGATGCAAACCATGTTAAAGTGCGTACAAACAAGTGCTGTGAGGCTGTCTTCCCTGCAATGTTTCTACAGACAGCAAGTAAGGAAAATGAGCCAGTCATTTTATGATTTCAAAGCTGTAAACCTCAAAGGAGAAGAGGTCAGCTTCTCAAAGTACAAAGGGAAAGTGGTGCTGATTGAAAATGTGGCATCTCTCTGAGGAACAACTGTCAGGGATTATACCCAGGTACGGTTGTATTTAAGACCTGGGCCCCATTCCTCGAAAGATGGTTAAGTTTAATCCAGGATTAAGCCAAATTTCAAGCACAGTTTCCTCGTCTAAGAACATGCAACTTGAGGTTACAAAATACTGTTGAGCCTTTACTACGAGATACCGTAATGATAACACAAAATGTTACCCTAAGCAATGCATGGGAATGTAAAATACAAAAACGGAACAAAATTTTAATCCTGGATTAATGCTAATCGGCCTTTCAGGAACCAGGCCCTGAAGTTTTTCTTGTGTCCTCTTGTAATATGGAGGAATGGTGGAGAAAGGGAGAAAGGAAGTTTATGGAAGAAAAGAAAAAAAAAGGGGAAATGGGACCGATTGTTGTGTGAGACATAAATATTAATAAATAATAAAATTTAAGATTATACAGTGGAACCTCTCTAAAACGGCCACCTTGGGGACAGAAGAAAGTGGCCTTTGTAAAGAGGTGGCTGTTGTAGAGAGGTTTTTTAAAAACAAGAGGTTGTTTAAAAACAATAGTCAATGTATGGATTTGTTGTCTGCTGGGACAAAAAAAAGTGGCCATTGTAGAGAGGTGGCCATTAGCAGCGGTTTGACTGTAATGAGAAGGTGATATTTCTCAATCAAGGACTTCCTACCTCTTCTTACATTATGACCCATTTTTCTGCCTACATTCAGAAAAGATGCATTTAAAGAGTTTTTTTTAGAAATCCTTCTTAAGGTGCACTTCATAATGTTCAGTTATAATAATTATTTTGTTTCCTTTGTTATGTTGAGTGCATAATTGCCAGTTAGGAATACAACATTTTCACAATGATGTCATTTGGCTACAACTTCAAGAGTCCTTTAGTTTTTTAATGTGCAAATTACAGCTTTGCTTTATGAATCGCATTGGGATTCAAGAATTCTTCTGATTCAAAAGTCCTCAGATACTGTGAATGAGGTCATCAATTGAGTGTATAGTAATATTTTTTTCTGTTATGTATAGGCCGAACCAAGGCTGTGCTAAATTAGCAGCAATAGTGTGTTCACTTAACTTCTAAGTAATGAATGTTATCAATAAATGATATTTACTCACAATATTATTTTTAAAACCAATGTTTTTGCCTTCTATTTGCCCAGATGAATGAGCTCATGGAAAAGTACAGTGGAAAGGGGCTCACCATTCTGGGTTTTCCCTGCAATCAGTTTGGTCATCAGGAGAACACCTCGGACAATGAGATTCTCGATTCTTTAAAGTATGTTCGACCTGGGAAGGGCTTTGAACCTAAGATTGAGATGTTCTGTAAGGTGTCGGTCAATGGTGATGAGGCCCACCCCTTGTTTGTCTACCTGAAGGAGAAGTTGCCACTCCCTCTTGACAAAGACCCAAGTAATAGCGCTCTGCTGATGAAGACTGCAGGAGATATACTATGGAGTCCAGTGCGAAGATCAGATGTGTCTTGGAATTTTGAGAAATTTTTGATTGACACAAATGGAAAGCCATTTCAGAGATACAGCCGGTATTTTCTCACTTCAGATATTGCACCTGACATTGAGAAACTGTTGCCTAAAAACTAATCTAACAGAGAAACACTGACATTAGAAAGAGCAGTATCAATGATTTCTAAAAAGTTATTAATAAAAATCCACTCATAAGATTTTTTTGTTAAGACATGAACCCTTTTTGTGTACAAATAAGTCACCTCTGTGTACTATTTACAATGCAGCACAAACTCTACTGGCTCCCCGCACACTTAAAACTTTAAAGAAATGTCTTTGTTATTGATTGGCTAATGAACCACCAAGGCTGTAATGATAATTGTTATCTGAGAGTAATTTAGTGTACTCATAGTTAATTGAGTGGAATGGTTATGAAACCCGTCAGACTCCTTTGTTATATGTTTTTGTGGACCTGAAAGTGCACAACGTTCAAAAGAATTCCTATCATTTTGATTGTATTGACCAATAAAAACGTTGCATTAATTTATTCCGTAACAATTTGCCAACAGAAAACAAAGGATTGTGCACTTTCACGGTGCTTTGAACATAAACTGCAGCACTGTTGTTTTTATCATTGATGTTTGCCGCTTTTCATAACCAGTCTCCTCTAATAACTATGGTGTACTTAAAGGGATGTTCTAAATATTGCAGAAAGTTAATTGGACAGTGTTTATTTGTTTGACCAAGGTTGTCCTTATGATGGCATACATGTAAATGTGATTGTGTGCGCCTGATGTTGAGAAGACAGCCTATTCTGATGTTGGCTCTGGTTTGTTCGAAGTTTGTGTATTTTTTTTCATGTAGTTTTTAGGAAAATATGGCAAACACATGATGTAATTTTTTTTCATTAAAAGCATTGTTGTTTTGTGGTTGTAGTTAATTCATTTTGTAACTGATAATAGAACGGGTACAATTGATCGATGGTGGATGCTGGGAGAGATTCTTTGGACAGTGTGAAAAAATCCTACCCAAGATCTCTTGGCAACAAAGCTGACGAGATATCTAGGTACAAGACAACATTTAATTTTGAATTGCCCAAAGATGCTCCCTTTCTTCTTTGTTCAATTAACACAACTTGTCCACTCATATGAGTCATAAATGATAATTTTGGCCTATTATCATGTTGACAGTTTTGGAGAATTGTCAGAATATAACAAGGGTGTGGCGGGGAAAGGGGGTGGGGAAGGTCGATGCTTTTTCGTTTTATTTTTGCTGACTGCCCAGGTGCAGTGGCTAGATATTTTCATAGCTGACTAGGTGTACCGTATTTATGTGGTAGAGTGTTCCAGGGGGGTGTGCAACAAAGCTTTTGTAAGGAGGCTCCAGACGAGGTCCAACACCTAACTCTTTTGAGGCTCTTTCTTGACAGAAAAGGTACCCCTTTGGTATGCCTCCCATTAAAAAATGGTACAGCAGAAATTTGCATCATAAATGAGATATAAAAGCATAACGTGTTACCCCAAAATATTGAGAAGGGCACTCAACAGCTTTTTTGGAAATCCAGGGTTTGGCTGGATTGATCTCTGAGGAACAGGGCGTAAGATTCAAAATTGGAATGAGGAGCATAACATGGAATTCGGCAATCTTACAATGCAGGGTGGGTAAATATTGTCATAGAAAGCCCTGATTCAATTAAAAGCGAGCTGCATTTCCTTAATGTCCACAAATCTTTCTTTCTGCCAAACAAAACACTACACTACGCCCTTTTTGACTCTAATAGGCCCAGCTATCCTCTTTCCTCAACCTGGTCACGTAGCGATTAATTCATTGTGCTAACGCTTAGACTAGCTTGCAGAGCAGTCGTCCCCTTTCCAGATTGTACCCAGGTTAAAAAGTAAATAACGGAGGCTATGCTTAGACAAGAAATAACAGTCTAATGGAAATTCCCATGTTAAGGATTTTTTTATTGAGCACTACAGGATACAAAAAATACAAATTGAGCAAAATATTTCACAAAGTTATTCTAGGGCAAACTGACTGACGCTTTGTGTCTGACAGGCGTTCGACGCTGTACGATTTTTACAACTTCCTGTGTCCTTAGTTTTCAGCGGAATCTCTAGAAGGGGCCTGTTTCTGCTGCATACAGCTGCGAGCAACTGACTCGAACAACCTACAGACAAAAGCAAAAGTCACTATTACTTGCGCGCCTTCTTTCTGGTGCAAATTGTTTAAATACAAGCGCGAGAAAGGCAAAGAAGATGCATGAAATCAGGACCCAGTTGTTCAAAGGTACCCTGCCATGAATCGGCCAAAGGCCGAAACGGTGAAGCGCAGGTCACCATAAAAACTGGACCAAAACCGGAAACCGCGCATGAAAAGTATCCGGCACCCAGGATAATTCAAACGGTGGACAATTAATACTTTACACAGGATGGGTACTAGGAAAACCATGTAAGCGAGTAAGCTTAGTGTCAAACAGATGTGTCTCCCAAGCATTAAATGATACTTTACAAACAACAAATTGAAAAGCGTTTAGGCTAACAAGTTTTTAAAAATCGAATTTGCAATCTGCTTTAATCTTCTTCAAGTTTGTCCATCTTATACATTTCCCTCAATTTGGTGGCCGTTCCCACTAATCGAATTTCTATAAATTTTGTGACACCGCTTCTTGGTCGGGAATCACTAAAGTCGAGGAAGATCTTTACATAGGAACCTATATCTTTCACATGAAGCATTTCGGGCTCTTTATTTAGTCTCAGTGGCCAGTGAAAAGTAAGGCTTTAAGCGCTCTCAGAACTGAATGATCAGGGATAGAACCAATTTACTGAGAGAAATACTTACTTTTCAATTTCCGGGGCGCAGTGGACAAACTCGTGAGTCCAAAACTTATACTGATGATTCTTGATGAGTTCGATAAAGGTGATAAGCAGGCCCCATGGGTGGGGTCTGTTTACTATCAACCGCTCCAGTAACACTCTGACAAAAGAAATGAAAATATACACAGTTAATAAACGCGACAGAGACTGATACGATGTCCGCTATGCAGTCAAACTTCAAACTTCAAACTTCAACTTTATTTCATAAGACTATTGGTTACAATAGACTGGCCCGCAAAATAGCAATTGCTAATCTAGGCGGACCAGTTAAAAGAAAAATAAATTGAAAGGAAAAGGAAGGAAAACTACAATTTTAAGTTACAATAAATAATATTCTATCACAGTTTTATTTTAATTACATTAAATCTGAACAAGCAAACAAACAAATGCTTTAATACAGAAATAACTAAACTATTAATCGAACTTTTTCAACTATTAAGGGCGTCTTAATATAGTCATCTTCTCTTTTTAAGATATCCGAAAGCAATCTGTGAAGTACTTTCCTAAATTTCTTTTTAGGAAGATCTCTAATATGACAAGGCATCTCATTCCAAAGTTTTACACCAAAGCGAGACAAGGAGTTTTTGTGTATTTCCAGCTTTGAGCTCAAATCGCAAACTACAACTGTGTCCACAATGGGAAGAGGCGGTAATTCGGTGAATGCACAAACCAAAGGAAAACAGGTTATAATACCGGGAAGGAACGTGCCTAATAGCGAGCAAACCCAGTGCGTGCGCGAAGCATGAATGGGTGACTGAAGAGAGTTGGCGCGCTCGATCCTCGCGCGCTCCGCTTTGGCACGCGCTTCCAGTTCGCGCGTCCATCAAATAAAAGCAAAACAAAATATAGGGCGGCAAGTAACTAAAACTGAATTCCATACCTCGTGATTTGTTCTTGAATTGCCTCTGTGTTAGCTTCAGCGAAAAGATAAAGCAGAACACAGCTGAAGTAATGTGTATGGCTGTTGGGGTAACGCAACTGGTTTGCGATGGCGTTCAAGAATAAGTATCGGCCTGCAAGGAGAACGAGTGCCAATATTGTAAACTGCCGCTTACAAGCCCTGGGCTTAACAACAACAACAACAGTTTATTCAATTTGCAAATAATTTAGGACTATGTTACCCAGAATAGACCTTATTCACGATACCCGCCATCTTTGCACGCGCTTTAGGATTCATGGGATAAAAGCTATGTCACGTGGTATTTTAGAGGGCAAACTAAAGATAAAATTTGCCAATGCTTGAAATCGCGGTCCACCTTGTTTATTCTCTGAAAACGAAACGATGATTTAATAGTCATGCAAAATGTACGGTTTGAGTTTCGACAAAATTAACGTCATTATTGCTTTCTGTGAGGACATCTATGGTCACCGCTGCATCCAAAAAAAGTAAAAATGATCATTTCCACCGATATCGTTTTCAATATTATATAGATTTCGCCAGGGCTAAAAGCGAAGCTCACGATAATATTTAAAGTTTGTTTAAACAAAATATAAAATCGTGTAATGCTAAGCGGCGAAGGTAACGAGAACGGTGCAAAAACAACAATAGGTCTCATTAGCAAAAAGCAACTTTGCACGTGCAGCACACTTTTTTTGTACATTTCTTTGCCGTTGTTTTGCACGACTACAACGTGAAGCTTCCAGAAACATATCTTAGTTACACGATTTTTGGAGGAAATGTCGTACGTGTTCTCGTTCACTTTTTTTTCACTGCCGCTCATTTTCACCTTGCATTGGTGGCCGCTAGCATTTCTCACGCTTATAGGTGAATCCTTGTTTACATCTGTTGCCTCATTAGCATAGACTTATCATTATCTGATGAAGCTAATATAATGAAATTTCTGAATTTGAAAGAGCATAACAATTTCAGTTATCTCTGAAAATTTGAGCCCGATGGACCAAATAGTTTCGGAGAAATTCTCTTTGAAAAACCCCAAAATTTACAAAGAATGTATGAGCTCATTAACGTTTTGCCACCCAGTAATTTTGCGGTTTTTAGTTGCTGTTATTTTCTTTGTTTCTGATTGCACGAACTGCATAAATCAACCAGCACTTTTAATTTTTGAACCTTATTGCTACATACGGCTACATCTTCTATGGGTTAACTCATATGCTAATGAGCAAAAATGTAAACAATGACGTCACGATCAATCCCCTTATAATCGGATGTATTTTTTGTTTGTTTACAGGTAGCCTTAGGGGCTAAGAAGTGGCATTTTACGGTAAACACTTAATCTTCCACCTGACAACTTGAGCTTTACGAACTCCCTCGCCGCTCTTGCCGTGCAACAAATCATAATTATTAAAGCCGTTAGCTTTTATTTATACCTTCTGTATCAAGATCCACGGCTAAATTCTGGAAGATGTCCATGTGCGACGAATGAGTGATGGTGGACATGGAGGGGGTACCGCTTTTACTGTGTATGTAGGTGATGGCCTGGGTTCCAACATACAGGACAAGTGCGTTCATCAAAGGTACATTGTAATGCGTGCCCGGTTCATTTGATACCTGTCAGTAAATTGTCAATAATGTTAATACTTGTAGAAGATGTCACAAGTAATTGTCGCTTTCTTTGGGTTTGCATAACTGTTGTGATCAACGAGTCAAAAGAGAAACCACGATAAACAAATCAATCAATCCCTAGGTGCATATATTCACTTTGAGCTCTGAAGAGCTCATTGGAGCTCATCATGGACGGACTGTGTTTGTTTTCACTGATGGTCCAAGGGATAGGAAAACGACCAACAAGACCACCAAATCACACAAAACCTAACGTTATTAGTTTTTATTATTCGCTTTTTGATTTTATTTGTTTTGTTTTACAAGGTGCGTAAGGTTATCATTATTTTGAGAAAGGTTGTCGGAAAAAATGTGCACGCGACAATCTCGAGAGGTTATATGGGATATGTTCAATACAATGTTCCTGACACTGTAGCTGTCGAGCCTACTTTTGCTGCTCTCCTTTAGCACTCACAGACATATCTCCATCGCCTCCCTTGCCATTCGTTCAAATTTCTTTGAAAAACAGTGAACCTTTCGGAATTGTCGCGTACACTTTATCCGACAACCTTCCTAGAAACAGCTGTATATTTTTTCACTTTTTTTTTCAGGAACGCACAGAGGTTCGCACGTGCGTACCTTGCGTACTGATAGCTGCGCCCCTGAATCACAAAATGGTATAAATTTCACTGTATATAAACAAATGAAGTAATTGATTTATAATTAACCTGCAAATGCGTCCTAAGCTCGGTGAGGAATGTCACTGGTGCTCGAGTCTTCAGATAAGAGTCTAGATCCTAAAACAAAATAACGCATCAGATCACTTCATGTCGAACTTTTTAAACTCTGTTAATGTAAGTGTATCACAGGGATAACTTTTGAAATTTCTATTTGGCAGGCAAAATCTAAAGAACGATCATTTAAATATTAGCTAGAGAACAGTACTTGTCTGTGCTACTGTTTGTCATGGTGTAGAAGGTAGAGCTAACTTTTAGAGCCCATGGATGAAATTTTAAATTGTAAGAAAGAAAAGCTCTTGAACAATGCATTTAAGTGTTACAAATTGTAAATGCAAGTCAAATAAGCGGGGAAGTTCATTGATGTTGTTAACACAGAAAATGGGATTTTTTTCTAGTCACAGCGTCTGACAATAAAAGCGCCACTGAAGTGACTTTACCTTCTTGAAGCTGGCTGGCTGGATGGCAGAGGCAAAGTTAGTTAAGATGCGGGGTGAATGAGCGATGTCGGTCAACAAATCAACCTGCAAGAGCAGAATACAATGAAATTCAAAGCTTGCTTAACCTTTGTAAAATCCTTGAATAGTGTTGAGTAAACATGAAATATGGCATTTGTCTGTTTTTCCTTTCGTTTTTTTTCTTACAGAGAAATGGCAAGGATTAACCACGTTAGGACTAGCTCAGTCGGCAGAGCGCTTAAAGGCGCTACATCACGTGCTACGCATGCTCGGATTCTGACGATCATCAGTGATCATCTTGAAAAAGTTGGCTCAAAAATTTCAAGTTGGTCGAGTGGCTGAATTTTTCAAACTCATCTTAATATATACGAGCCATCCTTGTAGCCCTTCTACAATAGAACCTCGACTTAACGAACTTCTAAATAAACAAAGTCCTCGGTGTACCGAACGATTTTCTTCAGCCCAGCCAAAATTACAATAAAATGTATGGAACATAACTAGGAACGCAACTTAGGGTCAAAGCCGGACCTCGTATCCGGATCTTTCGTATCCTAATCTCTCTCCCTTACCACTAAAATACTTCATCGACACGCCAAAATTCCGAAGAATTTGGGTACATACACTAAGAAACTGTCTTTCTTAACTGTTACATCAATAACAGGTTACCCTAGCCCTTTCTAAAACGTTTAACGAAAATTCAACTTGGGCTTCAACGTCTTTCTTTCTAAGACCATTCAAAAACGTATTATTTGCCTTAATGTAACTTAATCCAGGGAATATATTACATCTATCATGACTAAACGTGATGTTACACCGGACGATTCGCAACAACGATTTTTAGCACAACACAACGCTGCAATGTTGGAACAATGTTGCAATCATTCGAAACAATGTCGCAACAATGTTGCAACGCTGTGTTGCGCTAGAAATCGTCGCTGCGAATCGTCTTGTGAAACATCACCTTAAAGGCTTGGTTACCAATGTTGGCATCAACCGTTTACAAAAGGGAAATAGACGTCACCGTGACGTCAAGTGAAAACGCTCTATAAACTTAGCAGCCATACCTTCAAGTTAGGCGTGAAGGGGTCTGGAAGCCGCATGTTGCGCGGAAAGGCGCTCAGGATCAGATTCCTCATTTGAATGCAGTTTGGAGGGATGACGTCACAAAAACTGAAGTGGTAATCACAAAGGAATTCTGGGAAGTCGTGGAGTAAAACAAGCAGTACCCGCAGTGTGCCCTGAAAAATGGTCAAAATCAGTACTTGCTTTTTCTCTCAATTCAGACATCGTCCGTGGTGGTTAAGATTCTTCTTTGTGCCTTCCACTTCGTGATAACAAAGGAAAAAATTGACATCATATGCGGGCCTATTTGGGTTGAGTCGACTGGAGAGTTGGGTTACATGCGACTCAAAAGACGGGTGGGAGGCAAAATCAGAAATTGAATGGCCTCATAAAATGTTATTCCTGGTTACCTTATAAAGCAGATGTGTTTGTTTCGCTAGTTCGGCATTCCTTAAGAATGGCGCCAAAAACTTGAAGAGGTCAATCAACAGCTGCTGAAATAGCACCCATCCCTGCAAAAAGGAAAAAATATATATTAATACATGACGTTGTCTAATCAGTTTCGCATAACTTCAGCTTCCAACGTTAAAAGCATTTGTTTTGGTCTCCAGTTATGTTTGGGCATTTCTGTTTCGGTTTCTTGACATGAGAGGTATTCAAGGGTCGAAAACAGTCACTCTTTGTAACGGAATTAACCATTTTCACCTTGCACATAATGCACCTTGTTAACTCCGGTCTTATCCAGCAACGAAATGGCAATAAAAGAGGAGTGAACATGGACTAAGCTACAGGAAAGATAGTAACAAAGAACATTTCATACCTTCTTATATGAGCCACAGTAACAAAAAGCCAACCGCCTACACAAAATCGGAGAAGTACCAGTATTCCCAAGGGGTGTGGTCCACCACCTTGTCGCACGCGGGTAGGTGGTGGGAGTGGGGGGGGGATAAATAATATGTTTTACTGTAATGTTTATAACGAGCAGTCTGGTTTAATACCTCAACAGGATTGTGTATCCCCTCCAATGCTAGTGCTACAGCGTTAGGTCATCAGTAATTATTGTAATGTTTGTTTAGGAGCGAAAGCCTCCGCCAAGGATTCGCTTTCCCTGCTCTTTTAAACGTAACAATGAATTTCAGTATCAGAATACCATACCTTCTGCTGGGGTGTGTTAAGAAGAAGCTTGGACATGAGTAGACGATGTGATATCAACTCGAGCCAGGCATACGCGAACCCTGGTGCCCGGGACGGCCTGAGGGCATGGAACACAGTGCTATGGAGAAATCAAATATTTAGCTGTTCAGATGGCAGGTATTAAAAACAAACAATCATTTAACCTGTAATGATCGAAGAGAGAATGCTTAAAGGTTAAAAGATAACTTTCTATTTTCTATAATTTCTTTTCGTGCCCTGGGTGCTAGAGACTTTTCATGCGCCGCTCATGGCTTCAACCTTTGACCGAAGATGTGTCGGCCAACAACAAAGCTTCCCCGCACACGCATGAAAAAGAAAACTCTGCAACCCAAGGTACAAAAGTCGCGAAGCGCTGAGCATTTAATGTACAGCAAACTCTTGTTTTTAAACAATATCAAGCATAAGACCACGAAAAGGACATATCAGTATCCCTGTATATCCCCCATGCACTCGGTACAAACACGTAGTATCCACCTGTCGTCCCGAACATATCTTCTACGAAATGCAACGCAAAGGGTGGAATCAGTCGTGACTTTCTTCTGAAATCGTCACAAAATTACAGCACAGAGGATCAAATATGATACGCACCTAAATGTCTGCAGCACTTGGAAGTTAATGGCCTCCAAAATGGGTTCAGGCTGATTGAGTTCTACGAGCAGCATGATGAATATCCGGTGATAGGGTAACTGTTGGAACTCGGTGTGACGAATTTCATGATCCTGGAACAGCACTGTTGCTACTGTACCGAGCACCTGTTGTGGAAAACACGCTTCTTAATACTGTTGCTCGTTCTGGTTGTTTCGCTACCCAGAGGCTCGAAAACACCTTGAATTCAAGCCCCCGCCCCACCACCCCGGGGGGTACCCAACAAACTTTAAAAAGGGAGGCTTCAGATGTCCAACCCCTTACTCTTTTATATACCATTTTTAACAAGAAATGTTTCCCTTTTCGGCACATACCGAGTACTCCTCTCACGTACTTAGTTTAAATGCGTCGGGTAGCCGTTTTGGCTCCTTTCACAAACGGTAATGACAGATTTCCCCAACCTTTCAAACAGATCTTGATGAAAGAGAATTTGACGACAAATTCCACGCAGACCTACTAGTAATAACGGAGTTTCTCAGATAAGAAAAATGACGACTTTCCTTTTAAGTTTGGACCGACCGAATATAGCCATAACGATGTTAACAGTTGCTAGTCCCGGCGATAGGCCAAGTTCATTTTTCACCTCTGCCTGAATATATAAATAAGTTCTACTACATTGATATAGGTACACTTTGAATATTTAAGGGCATCCATTCGCCACTTTACAAACGAGAAGGGAATTCGAACCGAAATGCGTCACGCAATTGATTCTGGAATCGTTACTGGGGATGCGCCGGTCAGCTTTTGGCTGTCCGTTGTAAAAGTCCCAGAAGTCTTTGCAAAAGTTAACTCGGCCCAGTTTCCGTCTCGTCTGTAAATTGGCGTCCGTGTTCAGGGGATTTGCCTACAGCTTACCCTGCTAAGCAGATTGATTTTGGTCACATTATTGGACGCATCTCCAGAGTGACGCACCAGCAAAGCTATTAACCTGCAGTAGGCATCCAGGGTGTTGTAACACTTTGCACGCGCCATGGTGGGGCTGGTAGGCTGAGGAGAAATTGTTGGGAGTCAGTGAGAACGTAGTAAGGTAAAACAATAAGAGGTGACTATCGGCCATTTTGGCGGGTGGCGCGTGGGACTGGGTCCATGTTGTGTCGAATTGGTTTAGGGGGACTGTTTCGGGGGAGAACTTTGACCCAGTTTCCTACGCAACCTGGTAACAGCCAATGAAAGAAGCGATGGCGCACTCAAAACCTTCCCAAAATGCAACTCCACACAACAATGACTCAGTTTCCGGTGCAAACTCGTAACCTATAAAAAAGAGGCGATGGCGAACCCAAAACCTTCCCACAATGCAACTGGACAAAATGATGAGCCAGTTACCTGTGACCTCTTCAAGGCGGGCAATAGTGGCTAACTGGGTCTGAAATAATTTTGTCTCATCGTCTGCAATAAAACTCGGGGTCGGATTGTTCAAAGTCGAGTGAAGATAATCCAGCTTTTGCACGAAATTTGTATAATAAAGAAGATTCATTTTCATTCCTTTTGTCAACAATTCGATGACTGGATGCTCTAAAGAGGAAAGAGAAAATTATCTATGAAAATACTTTTGAACGAAAGAAACCCGGATTGAAATTGAACCTCGGGTTAGCGCTAATCGGCCTTCGAAACAACTGACTCCAGATAAGAAGACACCTCTCTAAACCTGGACTCTCTATTGCATCAAGAGACAGTCTCTTAAAAGGGTCAAAACTGCATTAACAAAGCAATGCCTATAACGCTACCCTCGGCGTACTTTGACTTAAGGCATTAAGAAACTCAGTTTCTGTCCAAAAGTAAAAGCTTTCCACTGTGGATATCAACCCTAAGATATCTAGATCATGTTCCTTGGTGAAGATTAAAGAATACAAAATGAAAAAGCGACATCAAAGCGAAATGATTTATCCTTAAAAAGATCAATAAACTCACATGATCTCCCAAGGCCCTATAGGTGACATCCACGCACAGCTCCGTACTGATGCGGAAAAACCTTGTAATCAGATCGTCTGTACGTAAGATACCCTGTGTATGTAGCTAAAACGTACAAAAAAACACCACATTAGACCAAGGCTGCATCACCCCTCCCATGCTCAATATACACAAAGAAAAAGATTCTCACCAGTGCAACAAATGTGGAGAAGGCTTTCTCACTCTCCTTTCCAGCACCGGGCTGATGACAGAGGCGCACCCATTCTCTTAATAAGAACTCAACCTAAACGAAAACACGTAGAATGAAAAGGAAAAATTAAAATCAAACACTACGAGGTGTATTAAGGAGTCACTTGTCAAGGTAAAAGTACCGCGGATAGTTCCCTGTAATTACTGTTAAATGGACCTCTATTTAACAGTTGCAGTCATCTTTACCTCGGCCTGTTTGGGGGAGGGGTATTACCCTTTAATGACTTTGCCCGAAACATACATACAAACATGAGCTTTACTGAAACACGGTATTACTTCACATGTAAAAATAAGATAAGCGGTCGATGTGTATGAGGAGGTCAGTTTATGATTTCCCAAGAGTGACTGCTTATTACAGGTACGCAATTCTGCTCAAGGCAACGTTTTGGCGCGAGCACCTGTTCAAACAGAACACTTTGCAGTTTACTTGCAGGCCTCAGTTGTTCAAAAGGTGGATAAGATGGATTTAGCTGCTGGAAAAATTACTATCTACTAGACAACGCAATTGGTTTCCCCGCCACTTATCCACTGGATAGTGATTTATCCGCTGGAAAGCGCCATCCAACTTTTGAACAACAGGGACAAGATCTTACATGCATAGTACCTTTTCGTGCAGACCAGGTGGATCCTCATAAGCATGGAACGTACTAGAGACACCGGATGACACACCGGATGTTAGAGATGTGGGTCCTCCAGGCGCCTTGTTGTCACCTATCTCATGGTGCGCGCCAGCAGTCTGAGATGGCAGCGGTCCATTGTGGGCAGCCTCCAGTAATGAAGACAACCTACAGATTGGTAGATTGCAATAAAACGATTATTAGCCTGTATTCCCTTAACATCTTACCAGCGCCCAAAATCAAGGTCCGAAAAAATCACAGCAAATTTTGGATTCGTTGAAAACTAGCAAAAGGAAGAACAGAAAGGAACAAAGTGTTCGTATTGAAAAAGAAGTTTTTTCTCTTCTGTGAGGTCACACCACAGAGAGACTTGAAGCCAGAACCAAATTAAATATTTCGTTCATGAGAGGTTAAGCTCCAAATTTAACGGGGAAAGAATACGCCAAACTTTGGAATGTATATGTTGTGGTGCAATTTTATCAAAAGTCAATTCAATATCAGAAGCAGCTTGGAAGAAACCATCAAATTTATTAAAAATAAGGGATAAAGGTAGGATTCTATCCAACACATAAGCGTCAAGTCCTGTTTAAAAATAAGAAGTACTCGACTGCTGTAAATATCGTAAAAAAAAAACCCTCACGCACCCTTCAGAACTCTGTCTGCTGTGAGCTATTCTTGTCAGAGCTTCAATAGTGTGATAGAGATCGTTCTAAAGAAAAAGAAATTATTCACGTTACAAAATAACAATACAGACTGATCTATTCAGTTTTCACGTACTGTAGGGATAAGCTTACTCCCATTTTGGGTCCGAACGCAATGATTCATTTTAGATGGTTCCAATCTCCCACAAGTGCATGAGACGACCTTTAACTTAAAACGCCAGAAATTGAAAGCTTAAAGCTTGTGGCGCCGTCACTGACTTCTGGGTTTGTTTGAAAAAAAGTGACTTAGGATGGCACTAATGACTTAAGTATCCATGGAAATAGGGTGGGCTGGTGACATCACTTCTTAGAAAAAACTCTGAAGCGCCTGCAAGAATTCAGCATCTTCTCTCCTGTAGCTTTAATAGTTATTCCACAAACTCTGTAATAAATCTTTGTTGTCGACGAGCAAGTTTTTTATCTAAGGGACATGACAAAAGTCACTCGCGAGTAAACCAGCATTCTTGCGCGGCTCGAGAAGAATCGAAATAGAGAGTTTGCACACAAGCTAACTCTTTCACAGCACTACAAATCTTACCTCCGTGACATGTGGACTGTGTTTTTCGTCCGTCACATACTTGGCAAGTTGAATGGCAAAGTGTAGCGCCTGAAGATTGTGGCCGTTGTCTATACACTGAATAGAAAAAAAGATCACCAATCAAACAGATGCGTTTTACAGTAAATCGTTAAGTAATTAAGGTTAAGCAACAGGTTTATGGCAAAAGACAAAGTTGACCAAGCCATTGCTAACGGTAACAGAACGGTTAAAATGAAGTTGTTACTCTCGGTTTCATTTGCGGTACCTGCACAAGGTGAAGATCGAACTCTCTCATGTTCAGCAAATGACTTCTGATCAGAATATCAATGGCGTCCACATTAAACTTCAGCTCAGGGGGACAATCGCACACAAACCTGGACACAAAGTAGCAGAGATAAAAAGTTGAGAAATCAAAGAGTAAGAAACAAAAACATAAAATGATCTTAAAAACGATAAAGTGATCCAACCAACAGGAAGCAGAGTTCAACTTGTATTTTTGTAAAAAAGGCAATTCGGGCTGTCGCTCAAAGAAAGATCGGAAATTTTCTTTGCTCTCTTTTATTTAGAATTGCATTCACTATACAGAAACATCCTACTCCTCATCTTCTGTTGCAAAAAAGCACTGCAAAAGAACAATGTTTTAAGCGAAGAAATACCGCGCAGGGTTAAATAAAGCAAACGATGTGCTGCAAGAAAGTTTTACAGATATTTTGTAGCCAATCTCAGGCTCTTTGATAGTTGGCAGGTCGCGAAAACAAACCAAGGAGAAAAAGGGCCTCTTCATATGAGCCCCGGTTTCCCAGATCCCGCCTTACCTCTGAATTCTTTATAAGAGTTTCGATGCGTTCATATGAGAGGGCCGGCTGACTCGGTTGCCGAGGTCTCGGTAAGAGGGGTGGAAAATTTTTCCATAAAAAACACTTCAGCCCGGTTACCGGGATGAACGCGGGATGAATTCTGCATCGTCTTGCTTTGCCTGCTGTATTTTCCACATCATAAGCATCCCATTTGACAAAAGTGATACGGCTATAAGAGTTGCCAAAGCTATGATAGGCGCGGAAGTTATAACTTTGTGTTTCGCCACGTTTGCTTTGTTTCTCGAATTTTGCGACACAACTCGTCTTCGGCCTATTCTCATCTCGGAAACCGTGCTGAAATTTCTCATATGAACCCAAGGTAAAATTGCTCCCGGTAACCGGGCCAGCCAGGTCAACCGGGCTAATGTGAAGATGCCCTAAGACCCGCGATCTGGGTAAGAGGGCAGTCACGATCTCCGCACCACTAGAGTCCTTTAGATTCTAAGAAGAGTAGGACTACGAGTACGAGATTTTCTCAATAGTAAGAAGTGCTCGCTCGTGAACCAGCGTCGTTTTGGCGGGAAAACGTGGTAGCCGTCGTCAGTCCACTACGAGTTTTAGCGAGAGCGTCGTAGTGGCGGGGACAAGTTATCAAATGTTAGAAGTTTTAACATTTTGCAATGGCAAATTACGCGAAAACACTTAGTCGTAGTCGTTCTCGTCCTCGAATCTAAAGCTCTCTACTATCCTGGAGCCTCGAACAGGCTTGATATTTTGCTACAAAGAAACAGCATTTCTCCAAGAAAGCTGCTACACTCACACCTCGTCAAAAATAAAATGGTCCCTCCCTAAATGATGGATCATCACGCTTTAACTTCTTCTTTCTTTCCGATTTGTTCAGAAATATCTTTTCTCCTCCGAAAACAGGCAATTATAAAACATCTTCGGTGATCAAATCCGAGACCCTCACGCCTTCCAGTACGATTAATCCTTTAAGCCCCAACATCAACATGCATCTTCTCCACACTGTTCTTCATACATTCCTTATGGTACTGCTTGAGAGAATTTGTTCTAACATCACAACATTTCATCTTTGGTGATCATTTCATTCATTCACATGACCTGTCTGTTCGATCAGGCAGTGTTATTGTTGGGAGAAATTGCATGTGGATCACTGTTAAAGATGATCACTTACTTTGTGACATGTCTGGCAGTCCAGATGGGGCCATATCCCCGCGGGTCCTGGAGCCCTCTTAGCACTATCAGATGACAGTCGCGGTATCTGAGAGACAGCTCTGCATCGCCGGCAAGCGGAGCAACACCTTCAAGTAGTCCTTCAGCAGCCTAAGGCAAATAACATGGCCACATTTATGAAAGGGGCTTAAAGCTAAGCCATTTTCAGCACACGGATAAGGTGATGCGCAAATTACCCTCCGCCTTATCTGTAATTACGGGTGCTTCTTACTCCCCTGAAATAGAAATCGCCCGTGCCAGGCTCTCGGTCGGTTCAGACGAGCGAAAAAGCTGGCGAGAAGCGAAAAATACCATAACCGAATATTGGCAAATCTGGTCCCTTTTAAGCATGAACACGAGGTAAACACGTTTGTCTACCGGTATTCACAAAACTTCTCCCAAGATAACAGCCAGCGGCTAAGAAATTCACTACAGGACAAGACTAAAGTGGAACGCACATCAAAAGATCTAGATTGGTGAAAACTGTAATTGTCACAGCACAGTCATTCCAACCTTATGTAGAAGCCTGAGGGCAGCCATGTTGTCCCTAGATATGCGAGCCTGCACTACTGCATCCAGCAGACTGTGTATTGTAACTACATGCTGATTGGTCGGTGGAGCCATGATGGCATGGAGATGCTGCTCGATTTCCGCCGCACATTTGCTCAGGATTTGAACCACCTCTTCTGGCATGAAGGCCTTGGTTTGAAGAGAAAGAAAAATTTGAATACTTAATAATTTATCTGAGGACTACTCCCAGAGAAAGTCGCTCTGTGTTTCTTTCATTAGAGAGATTAGGAATCACGTTTACGGCAAATGTCAAACGTCAGATTCAAGTTGAGAATTTGTCAGAATACAAAATAAGCAGATAAAAACTGTATAGAACACTTCTTCTGGATAAAACTGGCGTGAAACGACTTATTTTTGAGTAGAAGTAATAAACAGTAAACGACAGTTAAGGGGGAAACTTGATCACGTGGTACAAATTCACGTTTGCCATTTGGCGTAGCCGCCCCTCCTCTCCCCAGTTTCCTTCCGTCTTCGCGCTTTCTCAATTCAGCGGGCCCGACTATCTCGGAGCCTGGAACAGGCTACCTTTGGCGTAAACGCGAATCTTAATCTCTCTGTTACCCCGGGAACACTTAGCCAGCGCCACCGACAGAACTAAACTTCTGGTTAAGTCCGTCTGCGAAACAGCGCCGAGATCATTGTTCTGAGCCACCACCTGTGTACCAGGGTTTGGATAAGCACCATGATTGGCCTGTTAAAAATGCCACTGTCGATTCGCCAATCAGATTGAGGGAAAAACGCATTTCCGGTAATTCGTTGAGTCCGTTGGGAGTCCCAGAAGAAGGATATCGGCGGTACTTCGCAGACGTTACAAACCGGGGACCCGTAATTTGGCTTAAGGTTTTATGTCAATGCACCATGTAGTCTTCCGTGCAGCTGCTTTTGTCTCGTTTGAGTGACGAGACAAAAACGGCTCTGTAAGCGACAATGCACCATAAGGATGAAAGCTACAGAAAAGCGTTCTTGTGTGATCCCGTTTAGTAATCCCTACAATGTGTTTTTCCTAATGTCTGAGTGTACAGAGACTCTGAAGTCCTTTTTATCCATGCATCGGCATTCGAGTCTGAAAGAAGTGCTTCAGTAGTATCACCACTGAAATGAAAGCCATTGAGCAAAACTTTCTTTCGGTACTGTTCTTTAGACTGTACAAGGTTGTTCAAACTTTCGAGTCCGTGGATAGAATGCTTACGTGCCTCACTTTACCAGAAACGGTTCCTATTGGACAAAAGAAACGGAAACAACTTACCTCAGCATTACCCAGAATTCCGTGCTCGTACTGGATTGGTTTTGGCAGGGGTGGGGTGGTAATTGCCTCTCCAGCGGGTGGGGGCTGGAAGCCAGGGATGCTGCGAGCAAATTCTTCGTAGACAGCTGTCTGATTGGCATTCACACCACCAACCTGTCAATAAATAAACAAATAAATAATAAACAACAGCATTTATCGTGTCACGGTTCGTCCAAGGATTATGTCACCCACACAAGTAATTCTTCGGTGCATAAATTTGTTGATAGCCCTCGCGACCTGGACGCGAGTGTCAATGCGGAGTCGTTCGGCCAACCCGACTTCAGCCCTAGCACTTGCGGTTGCTTCACTCGCTGTTTGGGACATTCCTTCAAGATGGAATACACTTGAACAATGAAACGTCAACAAGGATCAATTTACTGTAACAGCAAAAATTCCCTAGACGGTGCGGCAAATTCCCATGCACATTCTAGCTTTGAGTCCACTCAAAACTCTTCAGACACACATGAAGTCAGCGCACTGAACTCACCTTCAGCCTGATCTGTTCAGGCATGCGCTCTGCTTGGTACGTCAGCACCACTGGATCGCAGTACCGTCGACCCTCACTACGGGCATGACGACGAACATCAAACTCCTGAAATCGGAATTACAACGATCAACTCTATTACTTAAACCCCTTGTTGGGAAGAAATAGTCAGAACTGGCCGGCCAAACATGGTTCCTTTGATAAGGAAATATTAGTCTTTTCTCACTCAAAATTTTACCAAAACACATCACACCCATGCATACCATTTAGAAATAAACTGATCTACAATCAGAGACAAAAGTAGTTGACACACTTGTCTAACACGGGTGCTTTTAACAATTACACACATTTGTTATTTAATTCTATTTAAACGCCGTAAATACCCCACCCCCTAATCAATGTTGTTTATAGTAAAAGAAAGACTCGAGGGTCTAAAACACAACATTAGTTTTGAGGGGAGGGGGTGTTGGTACACCGGGGGAGGGGATAGGATTGTCCACTATTCAAAAAGGGGTCATTTTATAGAATTGTTTCAACACTTTTGCTCCTCATTGTAGCTGGATAGTCCTGAATAATAGTGGAATTCGCCTGACGACTGGACTTGTCTGGCTAGCCAGTTCTGATAATTGGTTAACCTGTGAGCGGGCAATGCCATTTCAATTTCATACAAAGTTAGCTGGAGGAGAGAAGGGTTGACACGACTCAAAGTTTAAACCTACAGCAAACACGTTTAGAACTAGTTAACAAAAAAAATTTACCGTGGTAAGCCGTTTGTCCATCTCCGGCAGAGCCTTTTCCACCGCAGTCTTTTGAATAAACGCGCAAGCAAGCTCTGTGTTATCCTCGCTGATAACTGACGCAGCTTGTTCAATCATGTCTTTCTGTTGCTGGTTTGCACCCTAAAATTAATGATAAATCAATGAGTCACTCAATTAATCAAATCAATAGCAAAACAAAAAATGCACTTTATTTGAGTGTCAGTGTATTTAGCACGAAAGTACTAATTGGGGACACTATTTTTTAAGTCTCCTACTGGAGACAGGACTGCCATTTTACGTGGTCATCCGAGCCACGCGAAGGACTAACCGTTTGCATGGCAATGACAGCACCCTCATTTCTCAGTCATTTTAAGACCCTGAGTATTGGTCCGATCCCGGGAATCGAACCCGTGACCTCGCGCTCTGCAGACAAGCGCTCTACCGGCTGAGCTAATCCTGCCGCGGTCAAGCCCTTCCCCTAAGCAGTCAATCATTCATACAACTACTCCATCGCCCACTTAAGAAACCTGTCAGCTCGGTCTCGCGTTGAGGTTACATCCAGGCCGAGTTACAAGCAGATAGAGAGCGATTAGAAACCGGCTCGCGTTGCTTCTTCATTGCCCGCTCCCCAGCAAAGAAACCAGCTCACAACGAATCGCATGATTAACCAAACACACTGGTCGTGACGCACTTTTTCATAACCTCCCTTAACGTACATCTTTGTAAGACCAACGCCTGACTAAAATTCGTCCCTCTCCAGCCTGAGAAAACAGCCGACATTTCGGGCGTTACCATCTGTTTCCCAGCGGAATGACGAATTAGTGTAAAAGAAATTTGCTTCAACCAATAAAAAGCACTACCCTGATCTGGGTAGTGACTTCTGTGCTCTTAAACAAGTTATTATTTTCTTACCCTGAGAGCTGCCAGGAAGTTCGATCTGAGATTGTTGTTGATGCTGATCAAGAGCGGTTCTCTACACGTAATAAGCGCCATGCCTGCTGTCATGAAGCGTACCATGTGATGGGCCGCAGCTCTCATCCGGGACTCTTCAGGGTCCAGTGCAAAATCCTGTACGAATAAGAAAACAAAAGACACAACTGTGAGCTGAGAAATATTACTAGGTAGGCCTATTTGCTTTAAAATCAATAGATTCGCCTTCTTTTGCTCATAACTGTACTTTTTTTAAAATACCTTTTCTCTTTAGAAAGGACATGTGCCCGAACAGGTCACCGGTTTAGTCGGACAACTTGGGAGAAAAGTTGTCGGACATACATTATGTTGACTTTTAATATCTGCAATTGCTATGCAAATCTTCAGCTACGTGGGGAAATTTTAGTCTTACAATAAGACGGGCATAGTCCAATGACCGACAGTTCTCTGCAGCTCTATCATAACCTAAGGTGAAATTCCACTGTCCAGTAATTTTAATTCTTACGCACGTAAATAAAATAAAGGCAACGTATGCAAATTCGCGCGTAACCGTAAAAGTACGCGAGGCCCTTCATACATCGCCTCTATTTTATTTACACACGTAAAATTAAAACTACGCGACAGTGGAAATTCACCTTTACGTTATCCATAGTCGCTCAAAACTCCACGATATTCAATGCGCTTTACTTCAAAAGAAGGCACGAAGACCCCCATTTTTTGCATTTCTTCCAGTAGCTGGCCGTTACCTACCTTGGGGAAGATTTGGGGTGTGGAAGTCTTTAAGCTTGCACTATAAAGACATAGATTTCATATCCACTGAATATTAGTGAGCCGAAGCAAAAAACGATTTTGAACGACGCACGTTGAACGGAGGTGGCCTTTTTCCGCTCTTGGGCAGTGACTTCGCCCAATCTTTTTCGCAAATCGTCTCTATAAGCTTAAGAGTAAAGATACTTAACAATACAATTTTGGTAGCATCAAGGCATATTAAAAGGGAAAAAGCCTCACTTCCCGTTGACATGTGTCACTCAAAAATGCTTAAGCTCCCTATTGCTCTAGTATTCAACAGAGATGATTACTATGATGAAGTTATGAATAGATGAAAATCATGTATGAGAACTGCGGGGTGAAGAATTATATGAAAGAAGATCATCGCAGTTACAGACGCAACCGAGACGAACCCTTGACCTCTGCGATACCGGTGCAGCGCTCTACCAATTGAGCTAACAAGCCAACTGGGAGCAGGTTGTTGAATTGGTTCGTATTAAACCCGTGAAAGGACGATCATGAGGTTATGAATATATGAAAATCATATATGAGAACGGCGGCGGGAAGATTTACATTAAAGAACATGGTCGCAGTTATAGACGCAACTTTTGCAGTTGCAAAAAGAAAGCCTGAAAAAATTCAGGCTTGTACGAGAGGATTACTAAATCACTCACCTTTTTCACAATCATCTCAGCAGTTGTAAGGCATATTTTAATTGACCTCTCCACCACTGGATGGACCAGTTCCTGTACAGCTCGCTCAATGGCTGGACGCACAAACTGCTTTAGATGAGGATGCTGCTGGAATAGCGGAATCTGTAAAGAGATGGAAACGTTACTTGGTACAACGTTTACAACAACAACAAACGATCTTTTAAGCTTTGGAATCAAATATTCTTTTAAAGCTAATTTCGATGTGTCTGGTCAACTCGTTTCTAGGTTTTCGGCCCTCCTTCCTACACTTTTTGAAGCACGCCAGCAGGCTAACTCTTTTCACTATGTTAACTTCTTGCTTGATTAGATCCATCAAAACTGTTTCAACTACATCACGACGAAGGTCCACGCCAACCATACGATTTAGAAGTTATGTCTGAAACAAGTCAACGCAGCCGTAATTCGTCTCGCACGCACGCACGCACGCACGCACGCACGCAAAGCTCCGAAGGAACGGCCGCGAAGGAGACTACACTTCACATTGAACGACAAATCCCCTAAGTTGTTCGTATTTTGGGCGAAGGGTTTGCAAGAAATTCAGTATCCATAATTTGTTCTGAAATAAAGAATTCCGTGAGGCTTTAGATATTAATATACAAAGGGATTGATTTTCTAGAAAGTAAACAGGGTAATTTCAGATCAGAATAATATGAGCTGGTAGTAGAATCTGAAGCAGATCACTGTTAACTCAACAGTTTGACTGGATGCCGTCTTAGTTGCTTTATAACATGAATCACTTATCACTTCTACAGGATTGATTATCTTCAAAAGTTACTGAAGACAACTGTTTATACAAACCTGTGAATTAACTTGAATATGAGGAGCCAGTCCAGCCAAAGAAGCCACATTGATTTCTTGGTATGAATACTGAGGGGGTGGGGGTGCCACGGGTGGTTGACCTTGCTGTGCAGATGTTGTGGGGGTGGGGGTGGAGCTGTTGCTGACGGCAGCTGCCAGGAGACAAAGATAGATAATCGTAAGGTGGAAATTTATCATACAATCAGAGCAAGCAGGATTTTGTTTATTATTATTGTTATTTTTTTTTGAAGCTAGACTCATTTTCACTCACGTTGTTTGTCTTTCTCTGGTGATGATAACTGATGAGGAATGAGTTTCAAACGTTCTGGGTCCTTTAAGAGTTCTGATGCTTTGATTTCCTGGAAAAAAATCGCACAAATCAAAATCCAGAAATAATGCAGTAATGCAGAAATTATGGAGCAAACAAAATCAACACTTACCTTCATCTCTAGTGATAATGTGTTACAAAGTACTTCCACTTCAAACTTAAGATTCAACTGAAAAAAAGGTTAAAGAGAATGTACAAAATCAGGTATAATAATGGCCAGTCGTTTTGTATAACACAATTTAACCTCCTAACATTTCACTTCATTTCTACATTATTTCTAAAGGTAAATGAAGTTGCCCTTTTGCAGATTGAAGTAAAGACAAAGAAGAAAGTAGGCTTGAGAGGGAGACTGGCACACGACTAAATATAAACAACTCCAAATTCACCCGTTATCTAATTAAACTGCTTTTAGATTACTTTAGATTAAATAAAATGTTCTGTTTATAGTAGAAATGCACAAAGCTGTTCTGGCTACTTTACAGGCACTCCACTCAAGTAATTTGAAATAACTGACAACAGACAATGCAAGGAGCATGACTTCGGAATTGGGCACAGGACAACCAACAATCCTGGACAAAAGTCCTTAGGACAGTGATGCAGTAATTATAATATTCTGTAATTTCTGAATGCACTCATAAAAGAGTGCAACTTTTTCGAAAATATCTTGTAGTTCTTCCCCTCCCCCTACCATTTTCAACGTTGAAACAGGGAAAAATACGACACACAAGCATCCAATGTGGTTTGTGGGGTTGGGGGAGGGGCCGGACACGTTTGATTTGAAAAAAAGCCCCACAAAGGCAAATTTGTCCCGAGACTTTTGAACATTATTGAAGAAACTATCCATCTAGAAGCCAAAATGGGTCTCAAATCGAGGACTGCCGGATTTGCTGACCCTTCGGCCAAGCTACCTCTTATTAAGTCAGAAAAACATTAAAGGAAAGTTCGGTCACTCACCTTTAAGTCAGGCACTTGATGAAGTTCAACCAACACAGCCATGATGGCCATTACCCAGGGATTAGGCGGCTTAAACACCTTACTCTTGGCTGATGACTCTATTATCTTAGCCACAAACGGCACAACATAAAGCATTTCCTGAAACAAGAAGAAAAGAAGAGCGCTCTGCAATTATAATTTGTGGCTGAGGTAAAAAATTAATTCAACAAAATTACCAAATTTCATTTCGTAAAATTCTGGAAAACAAATAGTACCATGTGAAAGTACTACTGAAGAGGTTTCATTTGAATGGTCACACCACAGGACTTAATTCAAAGACTCAAAAGTTGGAAACACCTTACAAGAATCTGTCATTTCCTTTGGCAGTAAACGTCTCAAAAAAATCAATTCAATAAGATACAAAAACCAAGTAATACATGCGTAATTAAGTATAAAGGACCAAAGATGTTTTGGGATGAAGGAAATTCACATGGAGTTCAAGAGACAACATTGAAAAATTTAAGCCATACTTTCCACAAATGCAGAAACTATAACCTAGCTACTTAAAATTCCAGCGAACAAGATTGTTACAAATGTGTTTGTAAGAAATTGGCTTTCACTTTAGTACAGCATACTATTTACCGGTAAGCTCAGAATCCAAAGTGGCTTGGAGAGAACTTGAACACATTTTTGTTTTGTTTTGATCTATTTATGGTGTTGTTTTTAGTTCGTTAATTTATTGTTGGTACTTTGGGGATGGTAAGAGAACCTGGCTCCTTTTGATAATAGGCAAGAAATAACAAGAAATGAAAGGACACTTGGGCCATATATTATTATTCATTCAAAATATTTCGCCGTTTTTGATTGGCTAAAATCCTACGCATATTTCATCATAACCAGCTATTGTCGACCAAATTTGGGAGAAGTTTACGATATGTGAAAAATTACGTCTATCGTGCAGCAAAATTGCCAGATTATTGAACCGTTAACCGAGAAGACCTGGGGACGAGGTTGAGTTGTTTTGGTAGCGAGCACAAAAAGAAGAAAAAGGCGAACTATTGGCTAAAAACATAGCAAGAACAGCAAGACAACAACTCGACAGACGACATGTGCTATTTGAAGAATATTTGCAGACCTGAACAACCGTTTATCTCCTAAACTTGCGATAAACATGCACTACTAAAGATGAACTTAACATCGATAGAGGAAAGCATGTTTTAGCTTGTTTTTAAACTAGAAAGTACTTTGAATGAATAATAAAACAATTATTAAATTCGGCTTTCGTATAATATGAAGAATTATGGAGATCTCGGAGGGTGTTACACCCTCCTCGATTTCCATAATTCTTCAGATGATACTCAGCCTCATTCAATAATTGCTAATTAAAACTTCTCTATAAGTTTTAGCACTGCACAATACCTGTTGCCCTTTGAAATAAGCTTCAATTATCAGTGACTTTACATCCAGATCCTTCAAGAGACAAACAATGCCATCAAAAAATTAAGGAAGAATGGCAAAGCAACTACTTATTACATCAAAGTTGAAATCATGAGCATTCTATTATTGGACATTTTATTATTATCAAAGTATTAAAAAACGTTCTCTAGCTAAAAATGTTAAAAAAAATACAAGCTTTCGACCACCTGAACTACGGTCTTCAATGGTTGAAATGACTAGAAAATGAAAAACTTATAAAATATAGTGTGATAAAAATACAATAGAATGAAAATTGAAAGAGAATTCATTGAGAATTTTTGTCAACAAGAATGCTATATTGCAATGGGGGAGGGCAAGAGTTATTGTCCGCATTAGGTGTTTTCATAGTGTACATAGCATTAGTATTAGTAACAGTCTCTAACAAGTTACACAAAGCACAGTGTAAGAAAAGTCAATAATGGACGTTTCGAACCTTCAAACAGAAGTAACGAAGATCCTAGTACTGCATTTACTTTTATCCTAAGGATCAATTACACTTTGACAAAACAGCTTTAAGTCAGGGTCTGCACCCACAAAGAGCAACGTTTGGATAATTTCACGATAATAATAGCACTGCACACAGTTGCTATTCATAGAACTGAAACTCAGACCCTGCTCACACAGGGCCAGACAAATTTTTGAACAGACGAATGCTTTACCTGTGCAACCCCTTTTCACGTAACCATGCAAATTCTTTTTCAGTTTACAGTACTGTCTGCCGTTCAAAAGCTTGCACGGTTCTGCGGGTCCCGTGTAGACGAAAGACAGATCCGTGCAAGTTTATGTCCATCCTTAAAATTTGTCAATTTGACCAAAACGACAAATGCTAGACAAACAATACAATTAGACACTGACATCATTTGTGTGCTGTGCTACTAGTGAAACAGTAAGTTTGGATGTGTTACAATTGACTGTATTTCTTTTGTATGAAGTGGGTAAATAACAGTAACCATGCAATAGTGAGTACTGGTACCTTCATGAGAATGGGCTTATTCCGAGCTAATGTCTGAAGTCCAAGCCAGTGTCCAAGGTTCTTCAGCAATGATCGATCAGAGAAGTTTGCTGGAACTTTGTCAGATTGAAGAAGCACCTATGGAACAAGAACATTATCAAGTCAGTCAAGAAACATGAATGACAGCATAGACTTATTGATAAAAACAGGTCACAGGTCACAAAAACAGCTGCCACTGAGATTCCTTAACCCTTTTAGGCCCGATATCCACATCCAAATTCTCCACACTGATCTCCATCTATTTCCAAAGAATTAGTAGAGAGAATTTGATAAAAGATCATAGCATTACAGGAGAGGATAATTAAGGACCATAAACTGCCGCTGGTAAGTCCTCCCGGTTATACATCCGATTATAAAGCCAACCTCTAGCATGTCATGAAATGAATTTCATTGATTGTGATATTTGAATCCTTAATTAAAAACCAGAATATGAAAAAGTATGTGTTTTGATCAGCACTACTATAGCTTGTTTCAAAGCACTTTTTCTATTCTGATTATGATCCCCCTAAGATATAAGCCCCTACATTAATAAGCCCTTCTAAAACCCCTAACGAAGATGTATACGCCCAGGGCTTATAAGTGACAGCTTACGGTATTTATGTTACGATTTCTTATTGGCGATTACATATTGTCGCATAATCTCAGGAGACACTCATAAACAGATGGAAGTTCAAGTTCCTCGGAAGCAAAACATGGGATTTGTTCAGACTTTTCTTTGCTACCTACCTTTATATTTCTGTATGTTTCCTTGAGCACCTCTCTTGCAAAGTTGGACAACTCTAGTGATTCCATGAACTCCAAGTAAAGCTGATGAAAGTTAGGCTCAATGCTAGCTCTCTTCATCACAAGGTACTGGGATATCCACAGTATGTGCTCATTTTGAATAAGATTTTTCAGCTCTTCAGCCTTTGAAGAAAACAGCAACATTTAAAAATCAACTCTTACAATAAAAACACGGAGAGGGGCATGGGTGATTTAGTGTGGGTAAGATTTTTTTTTCCCGGACCTATGGAGGTAGAAATTTTTTCCCCGACATATAACGGTGTAAGATTTTTTGTCAGCATTATATGTCATGAGCGTTATTTTTTTCAGTGCAGGATATTATTTTTCCCAGGTATTTCTTTGCGAGCCTTTTTCACCTCGAAATCATGTCTCAAGATGATAAGCGTCTTTTTTGTCACTTTCTTTTTGATGTTAGGTTAGGTGTGTTCAAGTTATTATCGCTTTATTTCTAACAGTTTGACCAGTAAGAGAGGAGACATAACCAAGCTAAAATTTCTTTGGCCGGTTTACACCATCAGCAACAGTCCCAAACTTCTTTTGAGCTCTGAAGTTTATAACTAACTAACTGATAGAAATGCACACCTGTCAATTCAGATAAAAAATCAACCGGCCATGACTTCTGCTGTACCTCACAGGTTGCTGAGACTAACCTTTTGATGTAGAGTTGCCTGGGAAATGTTGTTGAATATAAAGTGGACCTTATCCTGGACTGCTTCCGGTGGCTGCACTATCTCACTACTTTCTGTTGCACCCAACAGAGTGTCTATGTTATTTGCAGTGGCAATGGATGGTTCTTTACCCCTTACAGGAGAAGCAGCCACATCTGAAAACAAAGCAAAATAATTGCGTTCGATGTTAGGAGAACGCAACAAATAATCTTGAGATTCCTGTGGTAATCAGTTGGGATTCCTGTGGTACTCAAGGGTGACCTTTTGTCGTACTCATTTCGTCGTACGTCTGCATTTTCTGCGCCATCTTGAATAATTTATTTTGTGGGCACAAAAATGTTAAATACAATTAATTCGTCTTACGGTCTAAGCAGTGGTTGCGTGGCCCAATGGATAATGCGTTGTGTCTCGCAAACCCATACAAAACTCGATGTGCCACTCAAAAGACACCCTGCTGGGTGGGGTTAGGAACTGGAACGGTGACCAGCCAGAAAAATCATGTCATAAGGTTTACAAACATCAAAGATGTTGGAGGCTCCCTAATGTTGCACAATCCTTTGTTTCTTGTTCACAAGTTGTGACTGAATAAATTTATGCAACAATTTTATTATAGTAATGTAAGATAATGTAGCGTCGTGGATAGAGAACAACAAGATGTGCCCTCTTTTCATTATATAGTAACATAGCTCGGACGTCACAATACAAGGGCGCCAGTAGCAGCTGCTATCAGTCCATTAATGCGCTTACTATAACTCGCCTGAAGAAGGCCATGATATGAATGATGCATGTGTGTGAAAGGTAGATCACACCAGCGCCGAAACTTCCCCTATTCTTTCGAACAGTAGTTTGGGTTCTCTTACGTCCCCTTGAAAGAAGAATGGAGGAGACAAGGCCAACGGCTTAATGTCACCACCACATGACGCGATCATCTGAACTGAGACAAGGTCTCAAATCAGAGCCAGGATGATCTCACCAGTTTATTTTTTTTAAAAAACCCTGGTTGTTGGTCTGGCTGAGGTTTGAACCCACGACCTCCCACTCGGCAGACCAGTGTTCTCCCAACTGAGCTAACCGGGCGGCGGTTATTGGTTGGTAAGATCAAAATGATAGGGAAGTATTGAATGTTGTACACCTTCAAATCCACAAAAACATTAAAAAAAGGGGTCTGACAGCCTTCATAACCATTCCAACCTGTTCACTACAGTTTATCCAAACTAATAATGCAATTCCTTGTCTGAGACAACTAATCTGCAAATGATTGCCAACAACCAAAAGCAACAAAAATACCCTTTGCCCCGACCTACCTGGAACAGTGGTAGTTTTAGCGGAAGATACAACAGTGCTATTAGAAGTTACAGTAGGTGCTGGAGGAATAGAGGAAGCCAGAGGAGCAGATGGCCCCAAGGGGATTGTGGGACCCAGCGACACGGAGCGACTAGCTGGTGTGCTTGTAAAGGTTGAAGTACCAGCCACACTTGCCAGTGTGGGTGTTGCACGGTTGAGAAGCCGTGATGTCAGCGGGTCCTGGTTAGAGAGCAATACATGATCATGAATTTCAGTAATCTAACCTCATAAAGATAATTTAGGTAAAGTTGTACTCCTAACAAATGGTGCTCACACAGGCAAAGCTAATCCCGGGTTTGATCGTACATGACACCTAAAAGTATTACTACTCCCCTGGGGTCAAGTTAGTAAAACTTAAATTACAAGTGCAATTTACAAGTGTAGCCACTGTTTTAGAGTTTGAAAACAATAGCTACCCTTGTAAATTACGCTTGTAAACGTTTTATTGAATTGACCCCTGGATGGAATGCTATTCCACTGCAAGGGTACTCCTACTGTAGCAGTGTGATTATGATTGTGATTATTATCCTTTACTTCTCACAATAAACATTACTACTGAAGCTCTTGTCACAACTTGTTCTCTCTATCAAGTCAATGAACTCAGTCAGAAAGCACCTTTCGCAGGATATTAGCTGTACCAAGCAGTGCTGTACTATTATCATTATCATTATTATTATTATTATTATTATTATTATTATTATTATTATCATTATCATTTCTATTATTATTATTAGAGACTTTTAGTTCAATCTTTACCGATGAATTTTCTGGTTGTAGAATAAACTCAATAAAAATATGTTTATCTTGTTAACCTGAATATTTCTTCCTGCTAACAACGGCTCCCTGGACTGTTGTCCATATTCAATGAACTCTATCAAGGAAGGTGGAAACTCCATGAAATGTGGAATTGATGCAAGATGCTGACAGTAGTGAGGATAGTCTTTAAGCCTACAAAAGAATAAATAATAATATTTATGTCATCACTGTTGCTCTCCATGCTGAACCACAGTGCAATTACCAGCAAGTGAAACCCAACTCAGTCATATTTACATGTGTAATGCCAAAATCAATTTCTATTTGTGAGCCCTAAGAATATTCATGTCAGGAATCATTATTTTGACTCCGGAGAAATGTTCAGCAGAACTTTAATTCCTTTGGACAAAAAATTCACAAAACCATTAGAATCCTATGAAAGGAAACAAAATCAAAATATTGCAGTCTCATGACAAAAAGTCTCTGGGACATGAAACTTGTGATTAGATTTTTTTTCACTAGTGTGACAATATTGCTATAAACTCCCCTAGAAAGCAGTTCTTTTAGAAGCATGTGATGTAAAGTACTATAATTATTTAACATGTAGTATGGGGCATTCCCACACTCCAAAAAAGGGTAATCCTTAGCAAATCACTAACAAGGTTATCATACTCATGGCAGATTAAAAAAGTAATGAGTGAAACAAGTATGAAAATGCATCCCGCATTCACTAACAGTTTAAAGTTTGCACAGCAAGCATACAGTATTCGTCTCTTCAGAGATTAGTGCCAATTAAAAGCAAAAAGAACAAGAAGTTCCAAATGCCCCTGCATCACTCTGAAAAAAACTAAGCCACTGGAGAATAAAACAGCTATTTTCCTCAATGATTACCCCCTTGCATTGTTACAGCTCTTACGGTAGAATGAATTTACCTTGTCTTGAAACGATCCAAAGCAGCTATTCCAAACATGTACATCTTGGAGCCAAACGGTTTTCTCAAAGCCTCTAGCACATAACGCAGTGCAATTCCAAGAGCCATATAACTGAAATAAAATACAAGATGTTTCGGCTCAAGGAGCAAAAAAATGCCATATCTCAAGGCACAGAGTTTCATTTAGGACAGGAGTTCATGACTTCAGGAGGCACTTTGCACCAAAAACACTGAGAGTGGAGGCAAATTCTATAGCTTTAGCTGCCAGAGCAGTGCTCTAAGCTCAACTTTTTTCAAAGCGGCCACACATGAAAGATTGGTGCACAGGAAAAGGACACTTTCTTCAATTACATGAAGGGTTTGAAAAAATGAAAATGCATGAACCTGTAGCTTCCTACCTATTGCAATCAAATTTGTAGGAACACAAAGCATCTCAGGGCTTTAAACCCTGACAACCAGAGTAAATTGACAAATTGTGGCCCAAATAATATTTCATGTAAAACATTTCTATCCCACTTTAGCTTTTATTAAAAAGACCATATTACAATTGGCACATGACTGCTGAGCTCAGTTTGCCAAATTATTGACTTTTGCTGTAATTTTTGTCACCAAAAGTTTTGTTCACTTGCAAGCCCTAGCATTTCACGGTAACAATCATTTCCAGTACTGAGTCGCTACCATAGTTTCTCAGTGATATTTTTCAGCCTTAGGGATCAATTTCAATCAAGTACAGAAATTCACTATTTTTTTCACTTAGATTCTAATCTAGTAGTAGTAATCCTTTTTTAGGACTCGGCTTATATACAATACTAAAAGGTTGAACTGCCATGGCAAGCAGTTGTCTGTGCAGAATTGTTAGGTGCATCTATGACTGTAGTAGGCATAAGTTTCATTTGGAAGCATTTCAACATGAACAAAAATTGAGTCCACAAAACAGCCTTAGCAAGAGTAAAGAAAGAAATCAGACAAAGCACCCCTGGATTCAAAACATTTTACCATAATATTATGCAACTTACGTTACTAAACCTTGCTCAATAATTCCACCAAACAAGCATGCAGTTGTGTGAAGCTCTTTGTCTGGATATTGTGGAAAAAACCTGTACTCTTCAAACAGGTTTCTAAGCATGCACAAAAATATGTCCTGTAAAAGAACAATGAAAAGTATAAGCCTAAATATAATGATGTCAATCAGATTACATGGGATGGAATAGACAATTAACATTTAATATTACATTGTGAAAAATGGAAATAAAAAAAATGATTTTGTGAAAATGCAACCTGGCATCTGCTTTCTGAGTTTCACAGTACAAAGCTGAATGTCCCCACTCTAATATTGTATTTCTAGAGAACACACTGATTGGTGGACAGGCAGGACATTCTTCTTAAGATAGGCTATCAGGGAGAATGTTCTGAGGAAAACTGACTGTAGAGATTAAATACAATTTAGATGGAGAAGAGTATACTTTTAAAAATTGTAGATTGGTGTTCCCAATAAATAACACCAGAATAATAATGCATTCTCCAACATCTAACAACAACCCATCCATCAACTAAAAGGACTTGAAATTTAATTCCAAAGAAAGTCTGAGGCCAAGACTCATGTCATAACAATATTACTACGCTTATAGAAGCATTCCTAGTGCATATCTTGGAATAGGCCATGTCCAAGTTCCAAAAACTCACGTTCAAAACAAGGCTAAGTGTAAAACCTTTGTTGTGAAAATGAGTTCTATTTGCATGGGAATAAAAAATCATTTTGAAGTCAATGGTTTCACACTTAGCCTCGCTTTGAAACAGAAGCTTGAGGCAACTCGGAAATGGCGGATAACTATATGTTTCTGGGAAACTGCCCACCTACCCCTCCCCTAAGCCAACATTAACACTTAGTTCTCACTTGGGGCAAAATGTTGGCTTAGGGGAGGGGTAGGTGGGCAGTTTCCCAGAAATGTACAATAATCCAAAATGGCCTACTGGAGACCTTGAGATCGGAGAATGAGGAAGACTTTGAGGATGAGATTTGATTTGAAGTTTTTTCGTGTATTCTCAGAAAAAATGGATGCCCTGGATAGTTTCATTTCACTTTTTTTCACCAGAAAAGTAAACACGGTCATTTTTATTGAAGGAGGTTGAGCTCTCTCCCGATTGCAAAATGATACAACTACTAAATTTCATAGCTTGCTATCTGCTATAACGATTTCCAGTCCAAAATAAGGCTGGTTCATACATGCAAACTACTGGTATTGAGAAAATCTTGTTCTTGTAGTCATCCTCGTCATAGAATCTAAAGGTATCTATTAAATGACAAGGAAATCTTGTGCTTACCCTTTCCTTTTTAACAGGTGAATCTTTGAACTTCTTGAGCATTTCCAGCACCTCATCAATGCTGATTGTAGGATTTGGAGGATGATTGTAAATCCTTTGGAAGTACGAATTAGCCTCATCTTCAACTTCCTTTGTAAATGACTGATCCATCCCTGGCCATACTTGAGATACATCAGCTGTTGATGCTGACGACAACAGAACAAGAAACTCAGCTTTTTCAGTTTATAGAGAACACTTTATCACAATTCAAGGACGTCATCATGTATGTAGCATTATAGACTACAAGCTAAGATTTCTGTGCCTACAGTAATAAAACTATATTTTAAAAAGCATCTGTAGTAGTGTTGAGTTTAGTGGATGAAACATTTCAGTAATAAGCCCCTTATTATTGCTACAAAATAATGTCCCTTAATCTTTAAAGCCAGAGTCAAATATTATTGTGATCGTGCATCTCGTGTCTGAGTTGCACAGACTTAACTTGTTGAGTCTGACATTATGATAATATCTGCCACTGACAGTTGAAGGGGTTATTCCAGAAACATAGGCAAGAATGCTTACCATCTGTCAGAACTTACTAATTTTAAGAAAACACCAATATGCAAGTTTCCAAGATGACCTGTCCTGCTGGCCAGTTCCAACTTTTGGTACGCACCCAAAGTTTTCTCACTGAATACAAAGACTGTCAAAATTACCTGTGCGTAACTTTTCAGCTTGGTTCCTAGACTGGGACAAAAGTGCACTTTGCTGCTGCTGTTGCTGCAACAGAGAACTGCCTCCCAGCTGCTTCTGGATTCCAAGACCAGCCAACAAACGAGCATTATCCATTGCAGCTCCGCCCATGGGCTGCCCTAAACTGCCTGCCTGGTGAAGTTGCTGTAACAAGGGGTTCTGCGATGAGCTGAAACTTGGCGAATGAAGACCTGAACTTGACGAGGCTGGGGTACTAAGGGGGAGTTGCCCGAGTTGTGACAGCGGCTTCTGTATGGCCTGTGAAGATAGACCTGAACCTATACTGCCAACAGCTCCAAGACTGCCTGAGGATCCTAGTACATTGCCAGTTAGGGGGTGTGGTGGGAATGAGGGCAGCTGTGAGGTAGGCGTGGCTGGGGTTGTTGGGAGGGATGATGAAGGCATGCTGAGCCCGGTAAGTGGATCAAGCTAAAAGAAAGAACATCAATTCTATTAAAAAGATATAATATATGCAATAATCTACCCTATAACCTACCACCAATATTCTACTCTCAGAATTCAACCATACAACCTGTTCTTTATGACAAGATATCTCAGCAAGAACTGAGTTGGGCTCCTGCTTGTTACACATGTAGTTTTCTCTCGGGCTGGTTGATCTTTAAGGGTTAAAGGAGCTAAAATATGTCATAAAAAATGGCCAATCCCTCAACTACACTGAACAAGAACAACAATACCAACTTATAACATGAAAGGAGCAATAAATTAATAGAGCAAATACAAAAGAAGGAACAGCGTCACTTACATTAATTTTTGAAAAGTGCTGTAACAATAATTGGCAAAATTAAAAAAAAATCAACTCATCTTCTATGACAGCCCCTTAAAGTGTCAAAAGCCCAGAAGTCTAATTTTCACCTAAAAAAACTCTGAAACTCAACTTTAAATCTCAAAGGAAAAACAAAGGTTAGGTACACGTAGTTCTACTAAAATAAATGTTTACAACCTGGGAAGAAAGACTTGATGGTAGCTGTCCTCCATCCAAACTTCCTTGTCTCTTGAATGGAATCCCTACCACAGCAGCACTAGGACGAGCTTTCACCAAAGGACCATGATTTGTTATCATTTGGGTGATGATTTCAGCCAACTCAGGAGATGCTTGGCTGCATTGTCAGAAAAAAAAATTTTGATTTTGCATTGCTTCACTCATACATGTAATGCTGTCCAATAAGGGACATCATTGTTTTTTTCAAATTTCCCCTTTGTCAGAGTTCAAGGGAGAAGAAGAACTCTACCTGACCTGGCAAATGAGACAGGAATTTTCATTTTCCAGTTTCTTAAAGAATAGCCATTAGCTAGGGAAGTCTGAAAATTTGCTTATTACACATACACATGCAAAAAGCAACCTCCTTGTATCTCTAGCTTGCAGCTAAAAGGTACAAGGTTCTTTCTTTTTTTTTCTTGACAGTTTTCTTTGTATGTAAGTTTGTTCATAGGGGTTCTTGTCTTCTTTTCATTTTTCTGCTTGCTATGTCATTCCACTATGCTCTTGTTGTGTTCTAGTTTTCATTAGATATTTCCATTGTATGGTGTTAGTCTTGTTTTGTCTTTCTTCCAAAGTCATCAATGTTTCTCAATTAATTCTCTGAGTTCTTTGAAACAAACAAACCCAACACAACTCCAACACCCAACAACAGCACATGTAGGTTCTCAAAGGCTTGCATGGCAAGGATTCATTCCCTAAAATTTTGAGCTCCTTTTTGTCACTATTTTAAATGCCAACCATTTAAGAGCACATTACTGGCTGTACCATAAGCATACAGTAATACCCCAATATTGACACCATAGGGACAGACCAAAGTGTTTAAATTACATGTGTCCCTATTAAAGAGCTACAATAGAATTGTGAAGTGTTATGCTATCTTTGGGAGCAGATAAACTGTCCACAATAAGGAGATATTCAACTGTATAAAAGAGTCCTATTTATCCTCACCCCAAGAAAGACTGAAGACAAGACAACACAGTAACAACTGTCTCCTGTGGTAGCTGAACACTCTTTGGTAATTCTTTATCCAAGGACACACCAAGCAGATGGGGGCAGCGCCGCCTAAGGAATGAGACACAAGCTTGGGCAAACTCCTCCTGAAAATGAAAATGATTATACTTTAATAATAGCTGCCACAGCCAAAGGTTTCTGAAATTGCCCAACATTTTCCTGACAAAGGTAACATTTCCCATTTCACAAATTAGTTGCGATAATAAACTCAACCCTTCCCCTCAAAGCCATCTTCTCTACCCATTTATTCATTTTCTCATCAAGTCATGTGCAGTGTACATGATTTGATAGTTCCTCAACAATTTAAGCTCCAATATCCACAAACAAATTGTCTTAACTGATCCCCTTACATTTCCTTACAGAATAAGTTGAGAGAATTTTTTCAAAGATCAACGCATTTTCCCTTAGGTCATCATTATTTTTATTTATGCTCATAAACTTTTCTTTTAAATTAGGTATTTATATTGACAGGAGAAAATTGGCGTTGGTTCAAAACTTGCAAAAAGGATTGAATTTCTTCAAAACCTAACATCAGCTTGTTGTTCAATTTCACACACAATATTCTGCCAATACAACATGATTCATGTCTGCAAAATGTCCAAAAGAATTTTAAATCTTAGAAAACACTAAAAGTAGAGGGAAAAGAAAAAACAATTATGTACTCTTAAAATTTGCCTTTTCACTGACTTCATTCAAATTTTCCCTGACATAAAGTGAAATTCCCTGACTTTTTCCTGACCTTGAAGAATATTTTTTTCTCCCTGACCTGTAGTAACCACATTACAGTATTGCTCAAGTTCACCTTTGCGTTAATCACAAAGTTGTGTAAGAAGGAGGTTACCTGGTGTTCTTTAAGCTTGTCTCTTAACCATTTGTCCAGTTTAAGATATTCTCGGCGTGACGCCAGGGCAGCAAGATCAATGACAAACACAAATGGAGAACCATTCAACAGCATTGATAATGCCTACACAAAAAACAAGAAAGACAAGTTAAATAAAATGACTCAGCCATTTAAAGGCTGATCTTTGGCCTTTGAGATTGAAAGACAAGTTCAAACTGTTGATAGACAACAATGGTGTCATTGAAAGAGCATTTTCTACTATTGTACTGAGGGAGTTACTGTGGTATCAGTGTGTGGCTGCTTATAAAATTTCTGAAGCACTGAAACAAGAGGCTTTGTTCTTCAGTAAAGTGAAAAAATGAAGACACTATCTTGCAAAAATTATTTGCAAAAGTTTTCAAGAAAATTAATTTACAATTTGCACAGTTAAGTGAGCAAAAACAATGGTAAGCTCCTACATATTGCTGATTGTTACCTTGAGGTCTTGAGCTACATCCAATATTCTTGATAGGCGTCCCTGGTCCATGTCACCTTTAACATACCACTCAGCCATCGCCTGCATCACCAGCTGACGAATTGATGCTGACTGACCCTGTGTGAAGTGAAAATACAACAGTTACTGAGATGATTTTTTTACCTCATACAACAAGGAAATACAATATCAGGTGATAATTGCAAAAAATTTAATTTCAATGTGATCGCTAAGATTTTGTTCAGCAATTGCAGTGATCGTTTGATGGCAACAAATGCCAGGCAATTGCAGTAATGGTGAGAAAGCCTTCACTCCTATCATAAGGCTGGTCTCCATCTCAATAAATAATCAAATTAGATCACTGAACACTTTTCAGTTTTGTAACGAGGTCTAATAATCTGTACTACTGTGATCAGGGAAAGGGGTGGGGCATTGCAGCCTGATGAAATACAAAAATATATAAAAATGATGACCCCCACTTAATTCATTGAAAACTGAGAACCACAGACTTCAAAGATCAAAATGGGTACATTCTTAAATGTCATTCTGGTTGTCGAAAAAACATATCAATATTTTATATCCTTGAAACTGATTCAAAATTATGCAATATTTGTACCTTTTCACAATGAAACACAAAACAATAGTAATATTGGAAAAAAAAAACAGCAACAAACAAAGTGACACATTTGCAAAAGGAAAACAAAACTGTGCAGGAAACTAAAACAAAAAGGTGCATAAAATTCCTAGAGCAAAAACTGAAAAACTAGTACTTCAAAAGCTTTTAATTTGTTAAAGGGATTGTCAAACCAATAAATACACAAAGTTGGTGAAAAAAGTGAAAGAAGTCACCAATAAAACCGGCAGCTTGGTTGGTAAGGTTTAACATGTACAGAATAACATACTGACCTGTCCATGCCATACATAATGCAGTACACTGCCTGAGTTAGGATGGTTAGCGAGAAACACAGGGATAAGCTGTGATACTAACTCATTGCGCAGGGAATGCCAGAGAGGCTGCAATAAAGCACATCATTATAATTATACCACTTACTAACCAAGAGAGAGGTCATGAAAGGGAAATCTCAGGCCGAGGCCTTGATGTATTGACCAAGGGATATTGAGGTCAATACATCAAGGCCGAGGTCTGAGATTTGCCTGTAATGACTGAATGGACGAGGTAAATAAATTATTTATCATATGGCCTTTTCTTTATGTACCTGAGCCTGCGATCAATTAAAACCAATAACTGGTCAGTGGATAGCTTAAAAAAACACGTCACCTCAATGAGTTGTACACTTGAGCCCCCAATACAGCATGTAACACTGGTCAGTGGACACCCTTTTTGACAGCTGTCAATTGACCAATCAACATGGAAGTCCATAAGGATGTCCACTATCAAGTTAAACACAGATTGTATATGCCTTGAACACCTAGCTAGTAATGCCCAGTCATTAAAAGAAAATAATGCCCGCTTAGCAGCCAATCAGAGTGCGCATACTATTGTAGCCAGATAATAAAGTGTGTTACCAGATATAATCATATATAAATCAAGAAAATACTGGAGGTATAGAACAACTTCTTTCCAAAGTGGGCTGTCATGGTGTTTGCCCGGTCTGCAATAGCAGCATTTGTAATTTTAAGATCACTCTACACTCAGGCATAGGTTACTATTTTTAAGGCAACAATACTTTCTCATTAAAGAGGGGTGAATCATATCCTGATCTTTGTCTATGTTAACAGAAGTATAAAAGAAGATTTCTTAAAGATCACTAATACATATACATGATTGTAGCACACTTTTTGGAGGCAAAATAATTTCAAAATTGAGAGAGAATAGGAGCTGGGAGGAATAAGAAGTCATTCTGATCCTTGTTAACGATGAAAAAAAGGACAATATAATTATTATTACGGTTACACAAGGTAAAAAACCCAAATAACTGTATGCTGATGTTTTGAATAGAGACAATCCAGTGAGGACCCAGAAGCCACCCAGATTTCTAATGTTTTCTCCATTAACTTCTTCCAGGACATGTGTAGGCATACAGACGTAACAGGTAGTTTAAGATGTCATGACGGCAACGGCAAGAGGAACGTCAAAAAAGAAATAAGTTTTATTTGGAAAAACAAACACTCTGCACATGTGTTACACTTTTTCGTACATTTCTTTGTCTTCACTGCATGACTACGATGTGAAATTCCCTAATTTGATGTATTGTGCAGGAGGTAAACACAAATAGTGACTTTTTCTTTCTCTTTCCAATTGAACGAGGTCATTACAAACTCATCACCCAGAGAATTCACCAGCAGTTGACGAATTATGTAAGTTGCAATAATCACAATAAAGTGACAATTAGGGCAAATCCATTTACAAATGACATTCTTGCTGCCATCGCCATTGTAAAATCTTAAACTACCTAATAACACATGCTACATACATTAATCTGCAGCAAAGCAAGTAGCAAAACATCTGGACAATGCTTCATTGGAAAACTGAACAAGGATTTCACTGTCTCGTAGTGACCTGCTTCGGCCAAACGCAACAATGTTTCGGACAAGTTCAGGGATTTCCTACAATGGAATTGATAATATTAAAATCATTTCATGGAGAACCTGAGCAGAGCAAACTGATACAAACCAAGATCAATATCACAGAAAACAAAAGAACCCTAACCAGCAGTAGCATAAAATTAATGTACTTGCATGGATATCATTATCAAAACACTTTTTCATGCTGCTATTGTTAATGTTTGATCCTTATGCTGTATGCTAATTTTTAGATCACTTTCTGTTTGGGATGCTTATTTTTGAAGTAAACTTCGTTGTTTTGTGATGTTTAGTTGTTTGAAATGAGTCCCATAGGATGCAAAGAACGATCAATCGATTTGAAGATTTTTTGGTTGAATATCCTGTTTGGTAATTTCTGTGGCTGTTGTTTCAGAATGCATATTTATTTTAGTCCTTTTTGTGCTTTTAATACATGAAGGACTATATTTTAATTTCAGTAAACTGTAATGAAAAGTTTTGGCGTCTGTCTCCAGATGAGCTGTCTGGTTACATAAAGCATTTTTAATTTAGGACACGTTGTATATTTGAACTGGGACTCATTGGTTATGGAGAGGGACTCACGATTTTTCACAAGATGAGTCCTAGGACTCACCATAACTATTTGTAACAAAATCACTGCAAAGTGTATGTCTTACAAAGATGTCTTCTTTACAGAGAGTCAAACAGAGGGAGTAAAGAAAGACAGGGACCAACTCTAGGTGTCCGTTAAGAGAGACTCAACATATTTTGAAACCAACAACTTGAAATCTTATTGACAGCCCTGGAAACCAGGCCTTGAGATTGTGCCTACAAAATAGCCATAAACAGACATGTTTAATAGTTACCATGTAGATATTTCTCGATTATCATCTTCTGGTACAGTTTTGAGCAGATCTATCACTACTGTGTGACAAGGATAATCAGCAAAACAGAAAATACCAGGATTGGATAAGATCTGCTGGATCCAGGACAGCTGGAATAAAGAACAAACATCTTTGACTCATATTTGATGGAAAGTGATACTTTTAATATCAGGGATCCTACAATCACTGGATGCAAAATTAAAGACAATTTCCAGTCTTTTTCCAAAACTATTTCTTTTTCCAGACTCCCAGCTATCAAATAAGCAATTGATGGAAACCTCCAAGAAAAAAAGACAGCAACAAAGCTTTTTCCATGATACACTGCAAACATACAAGAATCAATATACAATAGAGACACAAAAGAGTTCTAAACTAAAAGTTCTCATTCTGCAATAATTGAATGTTAAATTCAATGAATGTTATTGTAGATTCTGTAGAATCTTGCTACAGCCAAAATTAAATAAGATTTGACTGATGGAAAAGAATTTCCAGAAATTTTTGGTGGATAGCTGAAGAAGGGTAGTGGAGATTTAAGCAAAATTATGAATTCTATTACAGGAACAGTTGAAAAAGTAATAAACAAAAGGCAAAATATTACCTGTCCCTCTGTGTTGGTCCATGATCTATACAAGACATCTACTGGGAATATCTCCATCAACCCTCTGTGGCAAGCAGTAAACAGTAGCTGCAGACCTTCACGGCTTGGAACGTTGAATTCAGGGTAGTCTAGTTCCTGGATCACCTGACGCCAACTTAGCAATGGAATCTTTACAATAAAATACACAGCATCAACATTATATTAGTATCATGACTAAACAGTTCTTACTCCAAATGTTTTAAAAATTTCAGAATTTACAAGGGGTTGGATGGAAAACCACCCAAGCATGACTGGGTGGCAAGAGTTGTTTTTCTAATACAAATCCTTCTAATTTCTGGTGGCCATTACAATCGCTACTTTTGAGATACATGGCCAAAAATTTACAAGCCACCTTATTTCAATACGCTCTTTCAGCTCATGCTAACAACATTTTTCAAAAGTGAACTGTTTTTGTGTTTACCGAAAGTTGATCACATGATCAACTAACGGTTGATCACATGATCAACTAACGCAAAAGGCCTATTTCCATAGCAAATGAGGATGCGTAACTGGCATTATTCACAGAATGAGCTAGACAGCTGTGACATGGTCCCTTGAAGTTCCTAATAAATAACAAGGATGGCACAGAATGCTGGCACTCACCACATGATTATGCAGTGCCAGGTCTGGTCAATTTAGCACCCTATGAACTCATCTAAACCCTCTGCCCCCTTTAATATGTTGAAATAGTCAATTGCATACCATTTCTTTGAGAGCCTGGACAAACACTTCAACATTCCATGAAGCAGGGCCAGGAGTCAGTTCACTGAGACCCAGTTTGTCCAAAGAAACTGAACTGCTACCGTAATTCTGGAAAATAATGACATAAAAATTAATCATGAAATGAAATGAAAAAGTGAAAAGGTGAGTTATTTCAATTTTTTGTTTGCAGATAGATGATAGAAGTGAGGCAGGCAGCATAACAAAGAAGCATAAAATAATACTTAAACACTGAGCTTTCTTTGAGTTTGATTTCCAGCTATGCATAATGCCAGAGACCCTTTTTTCCCAGGGTTCCCATCAAGGGCTGGCTTCCCTGGCTTCCTTTAGCATTACGCCCGGTTAATTTCATATGAAAAGAAAGAAAGATATGACCAAAAGAAACTCTTAGCTTAGAATTGCACGAAAACACATCCAAGGATGAACACTGTCCCTGCTATTTTTCAGTCCTTTTTATTCGATCTAAATAAGCCTTCATCTTCCTATGAATAGCAACCCTGGTTTCAAAGGAGTCCATCCCACAAAGACCTGCTGTAATAATAACATCATCCTACCTGTATGGTGACATGTTCAGGGAGTCCATAAACAGTCTTAACCATCATTCCTAACAGAAAGACAAAGTAAAACAACATTAGTAGTTATTGATTTGACACCTACATGTACAAAATAAATGTTAAACCATTAACCCTTTAAGTCCCTATAATGGTGACCAACACCAAGTTTCTCCAAATGATATCCATACATGATCAAGAGAAAAAGTTGCCAGAATAGGCCACTTGCACTAAGAGGTCACGTGACCAATGCTCCCTTTAAACAATGAGCTGGAATCTTGCTGATGCCAAAACGTGACAGAGCACATAAAAATTATCTTACACCCGTAATTTGAGAGGAAATGCATGCAAGGGAGATATTTTATGGCACTTTGATCTTTCAACAAAGTAGTATGATTTGTATTGGCCGCCATGTTGGAGGGCATACTCTTGCCCTCCAACATGGCGGCCAAAACTATCTTTTGCTTATATCTTGTTAAACGTTTGATAGTGACGCTCATATGTGCTGTAAATGTTACCACATCATCTTTTCAATATTTTCCTTGAAGTTTAAGTGAAAATTTTGTGTTCAGAAAGAGGTAATTCATAATTTTAAAAATCCCATTTTGGTCACGTGACCAACTACGAACTTACTCATTTTAAGAAAATGGTGCAGGTTTGAAAAACCAAATCACCATTATTTTGTTTAAGATATGACCCACTACTCGTTTTTTCGAAGGCAAAATCATATCACTTTCATTTTCATAAAAACAATGTCACGTGACTTCTTAGTGCAAAATGGCCTATTAATAAAATGACCACCAAGAAAAAATACCTTGATCTTTTATCAAATTCTCTCAACACATTCTTTAAGAAAATGTATAGAGATCAGTTTGGAGAATTTGTATGTAAATATTGGAGCTTAAAAGGTTAAATGCAAATGAATTTCCTTACCAACAACCCTGGCCACAGCAGCTGGGGTGATATCTTGAACACCAAACTGGATCAAAGTATCTTTACATTCATCGACACTGGAACAAGACAAGAAATTTCTATCACCAGGCCTGAACATACCCCTGTTATATACAGTGTTCACAAAACTCTCTCTCAAACTTTTTGGGTCAAATAGTCGCCAAAGAAAAGGTCACAGAAAAAAAAAATTTTTGTAAAATTTTATGATAATTATAGTAAGTACTACACAGAAGTTCTGCCCAAGAGATTTCATTTGAATGGTAACAACACAGGGTTTCACCTACAGATTTTAATGTTGAGGGTGATGCATACATTGTATACTCTCACCATTACTTGGTCTGGGAGTGAAAGGATCAATGGGTACCTCTATGATTAAAATAGAGACCCAAGGCTGGTACTGCAGTCCTTAATCTTCCTCTAAACTGGCTTTGTTTGTGGGATTTGGCTCATTTTTTATGACAAAAGCAAAGCAAGATAAAATGAAATGTTTGTTTTAACTTTAAATCTAAATCATAGAGAAATCTGGTTGCTACAGTGGTGACTAAACCAAAATTTTTAGTTGCCACGGAGAAAATGTTAGTTGCATTGGCAACCGTATCAGTGGCAATTTGGAGCCCTGCTTTTGCACTTGGAAAGAAGAGTTGTGAGGAACTGTGTTTCTTTTAAACCACTAATGATAATGAAGACCATAAACAGAAGAATAATGACTGCCTGAGGTTGACGTTCATTCTTCGTTATGGCATTTACCTTAATATTAAAAAACAAACTCATTTCCATGTTATGACAGTAATTTGATAGCAATCATTATCCGATTATTGCATTGCTGCCTTAAATCTTTTTCTTTTGTTTCACAACTGAAACTACTGGCAGTTTAGTTTTCATATTCCTTTGTCTCTGAAATGCATCACCATAATATCTGACAAAAGGAAAAACACAAATCAAACAAACCTAAACAACACCAATCATAACATTACAGTTTGATGATAATGAGACAAAAAAATATATACCTTGAACAACACGAATAGCCTATTTCTTTCATAAGGTCAGCTAAGTCATCCTCCATCTAAAAGGCAACAAATATTCTATGACTATATGCACAGCATCACTAACTGCTACATGTACTGTAAGAAGTGAAATGCTTTGTAGTATTAAAAGCCCCAGAACAGAAAATCTAACTGCCCATATACCACATATTAAAGAAGTTCGTTGGCACATGTTACACTAACCACTTGGTCAGCAAGTCCTGTCATCATCTGTACAAAAAGTCACTGCTTAAATTATATATTGCTGCTTGAAGGGATGTTATTGCATGAACTAGTCAAAAGGTCTTTTTCACATTTTTTAAATTTCAACTTCCTGGTTTCTCTTTCCTATGTTCAGAAACCAAAATGTCTCCTGAAGTATTCACTTTCCCGATTTAGAATTTCAAAATTTTAAGCCAACAGCAAAATACAAAAGCTGAAAAGTAGACTTACCACTATCTTGGACAGATTTAAAGGTTCAGGAATGAGGCTGCAAAAAAAGTCAATGGAGTCACCTTAACAATCCTATTAATAAGAATTTGAACACTGCCAATAAACAATAGACAATAAATACACAGTACAGCCCTGGTAACTCGAAATCTGAAGGGAAACTAAAAAACAGTTCAAGTTAGCAAGGGTTCAAGTTATCAGGCTCAATTCCAAAATTTAATTTGTCATTTTAAAATAATATTGATAGTAACTGATTTTTCAGCACTTCAGTGTAAAGTGCACTGCAAATCTAACCTATTTCATCAGAAACGGTAAAATGATTAACCATAAAGATTTTAAGTGATAAAACGTGATCTGTTCATTGAACCAATTAAAATCAATGCTGACTAGAGTTAGTGTTACTGTTTTTACCGTTATACATCAAGAAGAACTAATCAGATGGTATCTGAAGGAAGGGGAAAGGGAAAGGAAATTTAGTTTGAGTTAGGAGGGAATTAGAGTTATCCGAGGTCGAGTTGTCAGGGTTCTACTATAAATAAATATGACAATACAAGTTTCTTTAATTTTCTAGACTTGTTAGGATGGTAGACCTGTCATGATGATCAGTGCTACACATTTGAAATACTGCTGAATTATGCAGCAGTAACAAGTTTTTTTTACACTGAGTTTACAATAAGCCTTGCTTGCTACGGCCCCCCACCCCAACCCCCCGCCAATTATTTCTCCGGGGTAAGACAGAAGTCCCAAGAGAAATAAAAGACAACGCTTTTACAAAATGTTGCGGGATAAACAAGGTGTATTATGGGAGATGTGAAAATGGCGAATAGAGAATTTATTTAATATAACAGAAATGTTTTACTTTTCAGGTGATATATCTTGTGATTCAGGGTAAAGAAGTGGTGCAAGGACAACTGGTGCTCTTTCTTTGGGAAAATCTGCCGTAAAGATAACAACCAGCATCAGCAAAACAACCACACTGCGTCAATAACTATTCAGTGTAAGAATTTAAGTAAGGGTGCATTTCGTTAACCTTAATCTAGAATAGGAATACAATGAATAATAGGAAAAATCTGTTCCACTGATTTCATTGATTGATCTGCTATACTAATTATGGAATAAGTGGAATATACTCCAAGAAAAAGAGGTGAAAAAAAAACCTGGCAGCTAACTTTAACAGCTACCCACAAACGAGGGATAGAGGTTATAGGGTTAAGTGACCAGGAATTTGGCTTTGAGCTTCTAATAAAACTGCTTTTCTTAACAAGAAAAACAACTTTGCATATACTGAAGTCGTGTCTTCATAATCTGCCAAGGCTCTTGTTTTTATACATGTAGAGACATTGAAGAAAGTTTGGCATCTAGACCTGCTACTACCAATCTTAAGCAATGGCAAACTTGGGAATGGAAACTTTAACACCCTTTATGCCCACAAAGAGATCAGAATCAAACTTCTCCTTGTGATATCAAAATGCTTTATAAAACAGATCGGAGAAAGGAATTAAGGAAATGATTACACAAGATGACTCTGGTTGATACTTCAACAACTTCTTCCAACTAATTCGAAAAGAAACAATATTATGGGGACAACAAATGAGAATTTGAATTTTGACATTAGGGTTAAAAGGGTTAACAGTTGGTACAATAAACCTTTCTTTAATGTTTCCAGGAAGGCTGTTACTTGGTCATCCCCAACTCCAACCTGTTCCCTGGGGCCATGGATCACATGGGATAAAAGACGATGTAAAACTTCTATGCCAACATCAGTCAAGCCTCCTTCCTGTACACTACCAACATCTTAAGAGAAAATACAGAGGTAAGAACATTTTAAATGCATTTATATACAATTTAAAGGAGTTAACAACTAAGACCATCTTCAGTGCCTGAAGTCCGCAGTCATTCAGCATACACATGCCAAGTTGTTCGCTACATTCCTCATGTGATTCTGTGGCGTGGATGTTTCCTTCATGCTGTGTTGTCCATGCCATGAGGTTTCTTTCAGTTATTTTCTCCAAACCCTTCTCCACTCCCTACGGTTCTTTCTCCACTGATATTCTTCAGTGTGATGGGTGCCTGTTCGTTTCAATTTCTGTGGGGGCTCATGGCTGGTTTGCGCAGTTGCACCAGCCATGGGGGCATTATTCAATCTAGGGGCTGGCTGCCAAAAGTAGAAACCCCTGGATACTCCAGGCACCCAACTGTGCCCAATATGCACATACAAATTCTCCAAACTGGTCTTCATACATTTCCTTAGAGAATGAGTTAAGAGAATTTGGTAAAAGATCAAGCTATTTTCTCTTTGGTGATCATTTTATTAATTCTCATAACCTAATCTCTTAACAATGTATGGATAGTGTTAGGAGAATATTGATGTTGGACACCATTGGGACTTAAAGGGTTAAACAAAGCAGTTGCTAATGAAATTTTCCTTAAAACACCTGCTACAAATGTTGAATCATGGACAAAAGGCCAACAACATTATCCACAGTTCAGTTGGCTACATTGAGGGACAAATCCTAAAAAAAGCTGTCAATCAAAACAGCACTCATACGCCTTATTCCAAAATGGTGACAAATTAGGCTAATACTTGTGTCTTCGTGATTATTGGCCTTAAATTTATCCTCTAGTTCTTTTGAATTCTATAGATGCATAAAGGAAAAGTAATGTTGCCATAATTTTGGCATGAAGCTACATGTTAAGGTTTTAAATAGGCAACAAATTCAAATTCATTCATTCATTTTCATTCATTCATGCTTCAAATTCTTACCAGCATCTACGTAGGACCTCAAAAGATCAGGTAGCTTGTGCTTTACAAATTGACCAGCTACAGCAAAAAGAGTAAATCAATATTAAAATATAAAACTTAATTCAGATAAAAAATAAACTTATACAAATCCAAAAACTGAAACCTTTGCATTTGATAAAAGTAAAGGCAACAAATGGTAAATAATGGGGTTAAAGAGGACTAAAGCTTTTAACAGTTTCTCTAACCCTTCTAATGGCAAGGTAAATTTTTCTAAAGGTTTTACTAATGGCTTGAACACTTTCCCAAGCCATTTTAATGCTTTTCTAACAGGTTCCTAATGCTTTTGCCTGTTTAATGGAAAACCATTCGTGTATGTTTTCCTGGAGAAGGTCATATTTTTTAAACGTCATGAAGCCATGAAGAAATGCTTATAGTTTTAGGCCGGTGAGAAAATTAGAGAAAAACTACAAATAATCGATTTTATTTTAATTTCTTTTTTATTTATTTATTTTTTACAAATAATCAATTTCAAACTTAACACACAATATTTAACAATCTACATGTACGCTTGTATGACTTACCATGATGTTTTAACTCTTCATTTGAGGAAATCAAAAGACCAAGACCAAAAATCACCTAAATTAAACCACACTGCAGTCATTTTATTAACCCAAAATCAGCAACAGAAAATAATAAATTAATTTTAACCACTGCAATTTTCTTCTCATGAGCTGATGCCTGTTTGTGATTACCATACATCAATAATAATAACTTAGTAATTATGGCAGATGCCTGGAAGTTTAAGAATAGAAAAATGGCCAGCATGCAAAGTCTATTTTAGTTGTGTCACGACAGAAAGTTCATACTATTGAAAAATAAAAAAAAAACTCCAAAAACGAAAACACCGTTAGTAAAGAGGACCGTATATTGAGTTGGTGTTGGGAAGAAATGGAGAAAAGAGGAAGGAATTTCTGACCAAATTGAGAGTTACGAGCCTGTCAACCTCAACAAACTACTTCGATGCAGAGATTTCATCACAAAAAACAACAAGCAACGACTTCGAGTTTGGCAGTCTCAAAAGTTATGATGACAGCTTTGGACAGGCATTTGAAAGAGAAAGGATATACCTGTTCTATCATTTATTAGGGACAGGCAATTCAGCTCCTTGAAGCAAGTTTTTGTTGGTAAAGCCAAACAACTACACTGTACATGTAAGTCTAGCCGACTGCAGAAAGCATTCAAACAACGCCAGGAAGGTAATTTTTTTTCATGTCTATTATTAAAAAGTAATCATGTGACTTTTCTAGTTCAATTTGGAATTTATTCGAACTCCTGAGTTTTTCAAAAAGTGCAAATTGCATACACCAGAATTTTTAAACTTTTCGAAAAAAACATTCATACAAATATCTCCCAAATGAACTCAAAGTTGTATAATTACATATACAAATCATGCTGCACAGCCTAGAATTTACAGTTTCAGAGCAGCTGGGCTCCCTTCAATTTTCGTTGGAGCACAGCCTTGCTTAGGTAGCAAAGACTTCACTTAAGAGAAAGAAATTTCCTCAGAACATTTATGAGCTGTTTCCAGATTAGTATAAACATTTGAAGCTGAAAACCGGAAACCTTTCAACATACTAATTTTACACTTATTAAGATAGTCTATAACAAATTCCCATATTTTACCTCTTGCACCTTGTTAAGTTTCAATACCCTGCTGATGTTAGGGAGTAGTTGAGCAGAAGGCCTCAGGGTACGCTGTCTGTGCTCTGGTGTTTCAATGGCATAACACAGAATGGATGAAAAATTGGGCTTAGACACAAGTATCTCGCATTCTTGAATGAGAAACTGGCACTAAAAAAAAAACAGGAAGATGTTTTAGACAAAGAGTAGGTCATAAATATTGACGAGCTACACACAACTTGTCATCTATGCGACAGCTGTACCTCGTTGTCACATATACAATCTTTGAAAAATTAATTAACAGTATTGAGGAAGTAAAAAATGCCCCTTTGAAACAGAAATGCAGCTCCCAATCTAGTGAATATATCTGTTACTTTTAGCCACAATGATTGAAGAAAAAATAAGTTGCACATAAGACTAAAGACAAAAAATAACCCCAAAATCTAAAAGGATTAGAGTGTTCAATCTAGGTCACATTTTTGCGTCATTGACGCAGAGTATTCTATTCTGATGCTGATGCAAGATGAAATTATTGTGGAGTCATACCCACACAGAAGAAGAGGTCATCTCATACTGTGCAGTACTTCCAAAATAGCAGGCAATAATTGAAGTAAATTTTGAAAAATAGGTGAGCTTAGAAGCCTGGCATGAAATGAGTGCGGAAATGACTGGCATTTCAGGCTACAAACGAGTAGTTTTTGGGTCAGTCATTCCACGAGATTTCAGTAGAAGCTGGAGTGTAATTTCGACTTTCTGCATACATTGCTTTGCTGATCAATTCACACTTCATTTGTTGACATTGTTCTTTTGTTTTTGTTTCATTACGAAACAAAAACAAAAGCTAAGTTCATTTTTTACCTTTAAAGGAATGGCAATTCAACCTGAAAAGCACGAAGATGGGCTGGATAAGGAAGGTGAAGTTTACGATAGTTTGGGTGATGTCAGTTATTCAAAGTTTCAATGTCATAGTTTGATCCAGATCATTTTTGAAATGACCCAATTTAAAATGCCATGAGGGACATATGACCCATTTTGACTAATTTCTAGATTGAACACTGGGACTAACCTATCAGGTCAGCCCAGAGGCTAAGCTTAAATGGGTAGTAATTAAGTACAGGGTAGGTTATGTAATACCTTAAGGACATAACTACATGACAGCATTTCAGGGTACAGGTACAGCAGCGACGCCCCACTACAGATACACTACCCATGCGAAAGGACATAATACAGTAAAACATCACAGTTACCCTCTTGTTCAAGATTTTGATCCCAAGTGCGCAAATAAGCTGTACAGCTAACAACATAGTAATATGCAGCATTCCAAAGTGTGATTATTTTGGTTACCATGGCAAGTAGAAAAAATTTACCTGGCTTAAATTTCAATTTGGCAACAACATAGTACCAGTATGCAGTATAGCAGCAGTACGCAGGAGACGTGTCAATATGAACCTAGTACATGGCCTCGCTCTCCATGAGTTCTCCATAGCTCAGTGGATAGAGTGCCCGCCCGGTGTTTGGGAGATCATATTAGGTTCAAATCCTGTTGGGGACTCAGATTTTTTCTTTGTCCCACGCTCATGACATGCTGATTATTTTCATCTTCACAACATAGTATCAGTAAAAGTAAAAGTTTGGCAACCTGTGTTTGACAGTCATGAGCCAAGCTGTAGTGATCTTTTTAATTGTGTTTACGGCTTCTCTGAAGTTGAAGAGAGATAAACATTTGCATGGAATATTTTTTACACTCTTGGTTCAGCATAAAATTCAACTATTTTACCTTGGCTGTCTAGGTATTAAGCCTTGAGATGTTGTGTGCACATTTTAATTCAATTGAGATAGTTGGGCAGCCATTTTCATTGTTCTATTCCTTCATGATCTACTAATTCAGTCTGTACTCAACTCTTTCTTAACGAACATCTCTGTAAGATGGATACCTTTACTCAGTTCTTTTAGTGGACTTGAACACTTCTCTAAGGTTGCGTTCCTATGAGATTGTCCAGATCAGGGTCAGTGATTGATATCACTTGGATCTTAGTACATCAAGGGTGCTTTCCATTCAACAAAAATTCCTGTTTGAAATTTTGGAAATTCCAAATGCCCAATGGAACTGCACAATCTGGTTGCACAGGCCTGACCCAAGCCACTGCGCATTTGGTTATTGTCCTCATAAGCAGGATACAAAAGAGCGGTACTGGGGACAACAATTTTGTCAAATGGAAAGGAAAAATTCACCCGACCGACCGAAAAGACCAGACCTGTCAGAGTGGACCACCTTCAAAGCTGGTCCCAAATATTGTGGTCGGACGAAACCGAAATAGTCCGTTCCATGTAATGTACCAACCGAAATTTCCAGAATTTTTGGGTTGAATAGACAGCGCCCCGAATGAACAGATGAATCCTTTCCCAATTGCAGATTTGTTGGTTCCTTTAATGTACTATGATCTGTCAGTGAGTGATCTCTGATTACTAATCCTGATCCAGATCAATCTAATGAAACCAACCCTAAGATGAACACATAATGCAAGTCTCAGAGGTGTTTGTCTTAGAGAGAACCAACTGCATTTCACGGCAGCTCACCTGGAGGAAGTCCTTCCCATTACTTTTACTATCACTGGCAAAGTCAATGAAGGAGAATAAACATCTAAAAAGGTGGCGTTCTGCCTCGTAACCATGCTTTTCAATCAGCTGCAAGGATAATAAAAATAAGAATGGAGAATACCAACAGGGCAGATAATTTTAACAAGAACAATTCATGTTCATTTGTTAGGAGGCTGAAGGAACAAAAATAACGATGTTTAATAAAAGTACAGAATGAATTTTAAACAATGTATTGAATCAGGGGTCACCCTAGATGTATCTTTCTTTCAGCCTGTGGTTATTAGTCCTTCTCTTCCGCTTACCAGTGTTGTGAGTATTATTGAGGTGTAGGTTAAAAATCCCTAGCTGCTTGATTCCTTGCCTACTTGTTGTATCTAGGGCCTCTTCACATGAGCCTGGTTGACTGGGCTGGCCCGGTTACCAGGATGAATTTCACCTTGGGTTCATAATGCGAAATTTCAGCCTGGTTTCCGAGATGAGAAAAGACCAAAGATCCTGGGGATGAGTTCTGGCACCAAATTCGAGAAACAAATCAAACATGGCTACAGTGTAAATACAAAAATTTTAACTTTCGGGACTATCATAGCTTTGGTAACTCTTAAAGTGGTATCACTGCAGTTAAATGGGATACTTATGACGTGAAAAATACAGCAGGCAATGCAAGATGATGCTATCCAGACCACCAGAATTCATCCCGCCATTCGTCCCGTTAACCAGGATGAAATGTCCATATGGCACACTTACCAAGATCTCGGTTGGAAAAACCAAGATCTCAGGAACCGAGCCAGTCCGCCCTCTCATATGAACACATCGACAATTTACAAAGGATTTAGGGGTAAGGCAAGATCTCAGAAACCGGGCCAGCCCGGTCAACCGGGCTCATATGAAGAGGCGCTTAGCCAGCAACTTTAAATCTTAGTGACAGCCTTTAGGAAGTAAAACATTTACGCCACATTACATGCACCTTAGACAACATTTAAAGGCAAATTCCATATACTGACTTCAAACCGCCCCATAATTCACTCCTTTTATTAAATATTCCGTTGTAAAGTACCCACTGAACAAAACATCTTGTTAGTTCTTTCTATATCTGATCAGGACAATGAGCTTCAGCTGTACAAGCATTCTCTGATCAATCAAACCTATTTTTATCGAGAGAAAACACAACTTTCATCTAAAAGCTCACCTCGTTTATTTCCTTTAGAGTCGCCTTGTAATTTTTCTTTGTTAAATCGTTGACTGCAAAGCTGATTTGACCCAGAGCCAAGGACAAAGAGTCTACACAAGCACTCATCTCTGTCAACAACAATTTCTTCACAAAAACACGCCCTTATGAAGAGAACGTTAGGACCAAAAAAATATTATACAACGATTTACCATCGTATGATCTAAGGAAAAGGCTAAGCCTGTCATCATAAAGACAGTAAAGTTTTTTGTACAGTTAAAAGTAAGGGCATAATAATTGCGGCAAATGCTACCAAAATAGAAATAATTGCAAATGGCCGTCGAACACGATGATATCCCACAATCCCCTCAATGCCAGCGGTTGGTCAAGAGATCATGCGCACTACGGAGAGGGAGGAGAGCTTGTTTCCGCCATTGGATGAAACTTTAGGATTTTTGTCGAGAAAATATCTTCGTTTTTGAGGAAACTATGGCTGCAACGTTGCGTCCTTACCTTAACGCGGTCCGGTCGACACTAACAGCATCGATGTGCTTGGAAAACTTCGATTCTCAAGTGGTAGAAAGGCATAACAAACCCGAAGTTGAGGTCCGTAGCAGCAAGGAGTTGCTGCTAACACCAGTGGTAATAAGCCGAAACGAGAGAGAGAAAGTGCTCATTGAAGGATCCATTAACTCTCTGAGAATAAGTATTGCAGTGAAGCAAGCCGACGAGATCGAGAAGATCCTCTGCAAGAAATTCATGCGTTTTATGATGATGCGAGCTGAAAACTTCTTCATTCTTCGCAGGAAGCCCGTGGAAGGATACGACATCAGCTTTCTCATCACCAATTTCCACACGGAGCAGATGTTCAAACACAAGCTAGTGGATTTTGTCATTCAGTTTATGGAGGAGATAGACAAGGAAATCAGTGAGATGAAGCTGGCTGTTAATGCAAGGGCACGTATTTGTGCAGAGGAGTTCCTCAAGAATTTCTAGACTTGACTGTGTTGCGGAAGTTTGACTCAGGTCGAAACTTTATCTAGAGTTTCTTTACATTTAGTTTTGTAATCTATGTGTATACAGCAATATCTTTTTTAAAGATATGAATTGTTCTAAACAGAGAATTTCACCTCTGCTGCAACAGAAGTAACAAAAAGGAAATAAAAATAGCTATGATTGTTTTTACTTGTAAAAGATTTTTACAGCAGCGGTGTATTAGGGGGGGGGAGGAACTGTAATCAGTGGTCAGGATTTTAAAGTGTAAAGTTGTGCAAGAACAATCCTGGGTAGCTACAATGTATTATCCACACCCTGTCAACAGTCCCCTTTGGAATCTCATCTTGGTGATTGCATCGGCAAGACAGCCGACATTCTGAGATGCCACCACTGGTTTTGTGCGAATTACATCTGAGAAACTAGCACAGAAATTCCATACCGAAGACACATTACTACCAAGAGCTAAGTGGTACTTCTGATTGCTCGTGCTGCATGGGAAATTTGCTTCAACCAATCAGAATCACAACCCAGATCTCTGTATTGACACATCATCAGTATCGAATTTCTATGCTCGTTTCTCAGATGTCATTTTGCAGGGAAACCAGTGGTGGCATTATGAAATGTCAGCTGTTTTCTCAGGCCATGATTGCATTAGACTGTGAGCAGTTCCTAGGTTTAGCTGCAGCAGCATGTTTGCAAAAAAGTAAACATAGAAAAACGGACAGCCTGCCTTCTAAGGAAAAACTAGGTTCAACTACTGTCACAGGAAAGTTAGCCTGTAAAAACAGCCATTTCTCATCACTCTTCACCGCTGGGGACGCTTCGTGTGCAGGAATACCTGTGACTCAGGGACAGAAATCCCATACTGATGACATAAATCAATGTTTGCATAATATATCTGGTAGTCATGGGGTTTCACATTCAAATTTTTAAATTCTATGTTTACATAAGTGTTGTGTTCATCTGCAAACAAGCTCCAGCTAAACTCAAATGCTTCTTTAAGAGAAGAATACATTCCACCAATTTTGACTGTTTTGTTAGAGATTCGTCACATTTACATTTGACCTTTGTGGCCTTTTGTCTTTTGTCTGTCATTCCCAAACAATAGCTAAAACAATGTAACTACTCCGTCGACCAATCAGCGTTTCTGACCAGATTCCGGACAGATTTTACATCATCAGTGCAGAATTTCTGTGGCTGAGTTGCAGACGTTTTTCCTCGTGAAACGTTCTCAGTGGCAAAGAGAGAGGAGAAATGGCTGTCTTCGCAGACTACAGGAAATTAAGCACTCTAATGATTGTGTTGCAACCATATTTTTTTGCTACTTAAAGGTACAGCTTAAGTGATAGAAATAATATTGTAAGTCAATGATTTCATGAGGTGAGATACTTTTACAGTTTAAAACTTCCTGAAATTGTGATTAAAACTGCATCTTGGGCTCTGACAAAAAACAATCTTTTAGGTGTAGAGAATATTGAAATGATTCCAGAAACATGACAATTTAATATTCAGGAGAATTTTCAAAACGAAGCTTTGATTTACTTTTAATCATTTACACAAAATTACCATGATTGTGCATAAATACACTGTACTTCAGGGCTCATGCACAGCTGTATTTGGTGAAAAACTACCCGTAAAAATGTCTTTGTAAAAATAGACTTTTCCTCCTGACAATACCTTTGATTCAACAAACATTAGCCTGAGTATCAGGCTTTCCTAAGGGGCTAGGGGAGAGGAGATTTTAGATGGGGGAGGGGGGAGCTCTCTCCCTTTTTCGCTTCCATCTTTCCCCTTTTCCCCAGAAACGCCTGATACTCAGGCTAAACAAACATGAGCTTAGTCCACTACCAAAACAGCTACAAAAATGACAGGTAAATACAAAGTAAAAAAAAACATTCTTGAGCCACCTTCAGTCATGTGCTTTGCTGCATTGAACTCGCATCAAGTTTTCTTCCAAATAACTAAACAAAAATGTAAAATGTATCAAGGGTTGTGGACAGACACCTCTCCATCATTTATGAACAGTTTTCTTGGTCCTGCCAAAGTAGCGTGTGTCCCAAACGTAATCAAACACCGATTAGTAACAGTGCTGTCAACTCTCCCGGATAATCTGGGAGACTCCAGATTTTAGACCATATTTCCCAGTCCCCAGATTAGAGTATGAAATATCCCCGATTTTCACCGAAGTTTTCCATTCAGTTGTAGACTCGACTTTCCGACATTGAACTTATAAATATTTTCGTTGTTTGAGCTATTTTACTGTTAACATTGAACGTTTCCTCATAAACTTCAGTGTGGTATATTATGCCATTGCAATGTAGGCAATAATGTGAAACATTACAAATTTGTGACAATCGAGTCAACGAGTATTCTTTGCACAAAGGACGTCATATACCGTGCGATATGACATCATCTATCATCACTTCCCTATCAATTCTAAATTTGAAGGCGTGGGGGGTTGACAGCCCTGTAGTAATGTCTGTGAAGCAGCACCAGTATCCTTATTTTTGGGCCCCCAACGTAACAGACTAGGAAACGCATTCCAAATTTCCCTTCAACCTGGCCAGTCATTGCACCTACTCAAATCCTGCTACACAGGTGGGCGCCCAGAACAAGGATATTAGTGCTGTTTCACAGACGGATGTAACCAGAATCTTACTTCCATCTGTGCAAAGATGCCAAAGTTCATCAGGGGGTTAATGCATGCAGCTTTACGTAGCACGAAATGTAATGAATTTCATTTGAATCCTTTTTGAAAATCTGTGTTCTGGTTTTCTGTATCTGTTTTTCATTTTTTAAAACCTGCTTTAATTAAACATGTTACGTTGGTGCGAATGGGGCATTACATTAACAAGTATTAAGTATAAAAGGCATACTGCCAGGGGAATTATTAAGCAGTTTGTGAAATCAATCTTCTTCACTTATGTCACGTGTAAGATAGCAAGATCTAATATAGCCACTCTGCTTGGATAATCTAAAAAACTTTAATTTCTACATATGATTGACTGTATAAATATTATTGTTTGGATTAGTATACACAGCATGAAAACATCTGTCTTTGCTGCCAAGCAAAATATACATGGATATTAATTTTGTAAAATCTGTTGAGTGATATACAAAAACTTCAATAAAGAAGACCCAAACGATAATCCCTTCCAATTTCCTTTTACAAACATAGCCTGCGAAGCCAGACATATTTCCAGTCATTGCAAGAGATCTAGAAGCAACAACAGGAAATTTATATGTCTGCATTCTTGGCAAGCACAAACAAAGAAAGCTAGAATTGGACTTCAATGAATGAGTCACTAAAGGTCACTTTCAATAATTACCCCTTCAATTCTCATAGCAGTCATCTCATAAAAAACGTAAATCAAGATTTCTGTTACAATGAACTACAAATTGAATTCCTTAATTATACACAGCATTTATATATAATTTCGACAATATTACAAGTAGAGCTTTCTTTAACGGACAACACACTTTTAAATTCACAAATGTGTGAACCACACCAGCTACACTAACTGGTTCCAAGCTCTCACTTAGCAGAGATGAACAAAACGAAATCTAAGGAAGCCTGATTCTCAGACAGTCTAATTCACTCATGGCTATTCACAAGAGAGTGAGTGGGTCCTGAGCAAGCAGCCTCTTACCTTTCGTTTGATTCACAGCAGATCGAAAGCTGACCTAGGGACGAGCAGCGAAGCTGCAAAGAACAAGGGTGGAAGCCCAAGAAAAGAAAAAAAAGAGACATCTTTTTTCCTCTCGATCTCTACCCAAATCTCTCCTCCCTTTTAACCATTAATTTGCATAACTTTCCTTTTTCACTAGCCACTCATGGATCTAACAAAACAAGGACAACTCATGATCTATGAGTAACCTGGACCATCTGAGAATCAGGGAAAAAAAGAAGGCAAAGAAAGGGGAGAAAGAATGTGAAACATACCACTTAGTACAGTCAAACTCCATCAATATGGACTCCGAGGGGGCCATAGAAATTAAGTGTCCATATTAGCAGGGTGTCTGTATTAAGTGGGTCAAATTTAGAGAAAATGTAAGGGCTTTCTTTCCCCAGGGACAAAGCAAAACTGTCCGTAACAAGGTGTCTATAAAGCGGGGTGTGACTGTATAATATTATTCCTTGCGCTCACTCTTTTTTCAACTGTCCCTGCTAACTGAGAAACAGGAATCACAGCTATGCATACAACTGGGTTGAGATAGGGTTATCAGTCAAGAAGTGTGGGTCCGGTATTATTTTAACATACCACTGGGAACTAGCAATACTCCCGGGGGGTAAGGGGGGGTCCTCTAGATTTCAAGTGACAGGGATAATCATAGGATTTTTTTGTGTTCCAAATTTTCAATTTCGGGATTTTTGGGGGTAGGAAAATTTTGGAAAGTATTTTTTTGGGTAGCTTGATTTAAGTAGGGATTTTTGGGATGTTCAAAGCTAATGTTCCTATTTTTTGTGTTATATCATTCAATTCTTTCTGTAAATTTTTATTGCTAGGAAATTCATCATGGGACTTTTTTTGAGTACTGGTTGAAGCCCTAGGGATTTTTTGGGGTTTTGATTTTTGCCCCCATTCAATCATCCCTGTAGCTTGAAATAGGGAGTACCCCCCGCCCCACCCCTGCCCCGCTTGGGCAATACTCTTGGCCTATTTTAAGTTTCAGAGTACAAAAAAAAAATCAAAATTGTGCAATGCGATTTGTACAAAGCTGTAATTTAAAAGGTGCTGATTTGTTCATATATAAAAACCTGATCTAGTAACAACATGAATGTGTTTGCTAAAGACTAAGTTATTTTTGCGAACTACTGCTAATCAACTATTGTAATTTTTTCCAGTAAGAAATGATGGGAGCAAGTGGAATTGTTAATTTTACCACTTACATCACTGCTGTAAATAATTATACGCTTAATCCTTAACCCTTCACTACTCCTGATGGGGCTGTTACTGAAGGCCATGGACTAGGGATTTCCCGGGCTACTACGAGCATGATCCCCAGCTACTTTCAAAGGAAAAAAAGGCAAACAGAACCAAAAGAACGTCACAGCTGTTCAATTCCTGTCTACTTATCACATATACCCAGCAACTTGAAATCTTTGTGACCATAATTCCGGCAACATTATTAGATTATCAGTCAGCATTATAGTTGTGAATCTTGAAATGACAGAGTCACGGTAATTCTGCTTAAATACTAACACATGAAAGCACAAGAATTCTTCAAATGGTAATTGCATTACAACGGTAAACAAAGTTATATTTTACAGTCTATTTTCTCTCAAAATTACCACCACCTTGGAATCAAGCAACATTTTGTAAATTTCCAAGTTGTTTCAAGTTCTGGTTATTGACCTCTGGTGTAACAGCAACGGGCCAATATGCAACGTTGTTTTGGGAGTAAGTACGAATCTGCTTGTTTAACTTGTCAGTGTCTCCCCAGCAAACCTTCTGACTAATTTTAAACTGCCACATGATTAACACAGCAATTAAGAAAACAGCAACAAGAATAAAAATGATGAGCAATTTGACGAAGGTAGACATCCCCTGTTCACGTAAAGAGGTTGGAGGTACCGCTGTGTCCTTCTCAGTAGGAGCGTTTGGATCTTTACAACATTCTTTCTTTACTTGATCTACAATGTCGTCAGGATAGCAGAGGGGCAAACATTTTCCATAGTCACAGTGGCAATACAGGGTGCAGTTGGGACATGATTTGCTGAAGGGCTCCTCGCATCCTTTTTTGCACTTTTCACTACATGTTTTAGAATCATTTGGATTGATTTTAGGATTAACACTTAGTTCACAAGTGCCGTAAAGTCTAATGGACCACTTTTTAAATTCTCCTTCCATGCCCTTGGTATCAGACACCTCTATCTTCCACACACCAGCAGGATTCTCACCCCAGTTGAACACAGTCATAAAAGCCCAGTTCGAAAAACCGTCACTTGAATAATCCCGGTCTCTGGGTGCTAAGAGTTCCGACCTGGTGCCAGCAGGTGATGTTAAAACAATTCGTAATGAACCCCTGGATTTATGGCTAAGGGTGACATATACCCTCACATGCTCAAGTTTGGTGACACAGTTCGTCTTCCCAGAGCACCCTGTACTTATTATGGAAGATGTCAGAGTACCCCTGGCAGGTATTCTCTTATTGTCAGTATGATCCTGTTCTCGACACATGTGTTGCTCAGGGACTGTTCTCCAGTTTGGTGATGTCGCTGCTGCCACCAAAGCTGCCGTGTCTAAAACTCCAAAGCCATATTTGTGATTGACACGATGTCCTGCCCCATTTTTCTGCCAATCTCTGTCCTGTCGATCAGTCACTTTCGAGGTGTTGACTATAAGATGTTGTAGGTCTCTCCAACTCAGTTTAGGATTGGCTTCCAAAACCAGAGCAAATATACCTAGAAAATAGTTCACAAAACATTTCAGCATACAGAAAAAGAAACAGAACAAAACAATGGCATAGTTTCTACAGAACCCGTAATCAGACAAAATACAGCCTTGAAGCCTGCCTTTACAGACACCTCCGTTCAGACATTGGAGTTCTCTTCACTACCTCAATAGAGTGAATTAAGTATCAATACAACAGGAGCTCATGCAGGTCAGGGAAATTCATTCATTATGAACTAACCACCAAATCAAGTGAAATAAAGTGAAGGAACATCTTGAATAATACTGGCAAAGCAATGACAAAGGAAGACATGGAAGGACAAAATTTAAGAAGTTTAAAGCAACCTACAATTGGAGTTTTCTTAAAACTGTTCAACCTACATGTCAGTGTTTTCACAAGGTTTGGAAGAAGTTTCAACTTTGATGCTAACAGTTACAGGCATGTACATGAACATTTGAGTTCTGGGAATTTGAGGACAACTTCAATTTAACCATGTTCTTTCCAGCCATGTCAATGGATTTTTGCTAACTGGTGCCATTCAAAAGCTAAAAAACCATGGAAGAGTCTATTGGCTAGCCTGCACCAGACCAAACTTAACCCCAATTACCTGCAGTAACATCTATGAAACGGTGCCAAAATCTTTGTTCTGGGTCCCAACCTGTGTACCAGGATTTGAGTATGTGCCATGATTGGCATGCTAAAAAGCCATTGTTGATTTGCCAATCACGTTAAAGGGAAATTCAAAACGCACTTTCGGTAACTTGTTGAGTCCCTTGGAGGCCCAGAAGAAGGACCTTGATTCTGCTTCGTAGACATTACTTATCACGATTATATTACATCTTCGATGCAGACTACCTATTTGCATGCTAAATATTTTGTTATTGCAGAGCTTACAAAGGGAGAAACAAACCTGCAGCAAGAGGAGCTGCAGCTGATGTCCCAGTGTGCCCTTTGGTACATGCGTGGTGCAAGTCAGTGGTAACAATCTGCTTGTCTTGTCCACGTGTCTCGCCGCTGCTATAGGTAACGGCAAGAGTTGATGGGCAAGGCTCAGCATACCAAGGAGACTTGCCCCGATCGTTGACTGCTCCAATGGAGACAGTGTAAATGCTTGTAATGTAGCCATCACAATTGCAGTAGTCATCGTAGTGGCCGCCATTACCAGTGGCCCAAACAAAGATGGCTCCAAGACCACCACGCCCCTTTCTGATACCTGTTCACAATACACAACATACACATATCATGAAATTATAATAAATACAAAGTTGAACGGACGAAGAAAAGGATGCAGAGAAAATCATCACCGGTAAATATGCACCTTAGCCAGTTGCAAAAAGAAAGCCTGAAAAAAATCAGGCTTGCTGGAATTCAAACTTTGACCTCTGCGATACTTGATAACGGTGCAGAGCTCTAACCAGATGAGCTACTGTAGCAATACACATATCAATTCAAACAGCTTTACACTGTATTTTGATACGAGATACACATGTCAATTCACACAGCTTTATTTGGCAATGCTAAGGGAAGGGTTATTAGCTTCCTGAAACTAATTTCTTGAAATTAAAGGGACACAGTCAGCTGATGCACATGTGCATTAGATACAATTTCTTAGCTGATAAATTTGCATGTCACAAAAAATTCACGTGAAACAGAAAGTGAGAGGTGTATCCAGAATACTCTCAGCTGAACTAGTTACAAGCCATTACCCTAAGCCATTATTCATTTCTCTGGTTATTTTGGTAAAAGAAGGCGATTTCTCTCGCCCAGTGCCTACGCGTTTCTCACCTCTTCTGTTCATGTTCCTTTGGATACTGTTTTTAACCGAGTATGATAAAATAATGTAATAGGATTAGTAAAAGTTTGCTCAAAAAGAGGTTTTCAGTAAAAGATCGAGGATCGAATGAAACACTAGGCAAGATTGAAGCAGATTTCTAGATGTATCTGATGCATACATTTGATTTCGGGTTGAGGTAAACACTTTTCTGGCTAAAGTAGTGTCCAGGTCAGCACTTTAGTGTCCCGTTAAGACAAATCATGGCCAAAAAGAATAAGTACAGCATATGGTAGTGTATAAAACTTCTTTAAAATATTTCTCTATCTCTGACTTGTTCAAACCCCACAACTGAATAATTTTTTGCTTGGTCCATAAATAAAAAGAAACATACATTTTTAAGGACTGAAGAATCCACTGTCAGGCATCTATTTTTTGCTGTATAATGGACATCTTACAGAATTGCGTTCTTTTTCCTCAAGTATATAATTTACAGTACAGACCCAAAGCACAGCTAATAATGTTAATAAAATCAACAACAATTTCCCATGGTCTATACTGTTATAGACCATAGAAATGATGTCAACACATTCTGTGGACTGTACTCTTATCAAACATAGCTCTCAACCAATCAGCATGCGAGAAAATGTTCCATTATGGTAAAAAAGTATCTTAGCCCCAACTGATGATTACCTTCTCTGAAGGCTTTCTTGGCCATGGGCCCAGGACCATCAACTGTGCGTCCATCATCATCTGGACCCCAGCTACTGCTGTAGATGTCAATGAAATCCCTAGCAAGTCCCAATGACCAGGCTTCTATGGCATCAGTTACATCTCCATCCAGCATACGAACACCTCCTATGCGTGAATTATATGCCACCCCCACCCCACACATGTTATTGTTCACTCCAGCAGCTACTTCCCCTGCACACCTGTAAAAGTGAGATGCAACACATCACAAGGAGTTAGACAAGTGGTTACAAATTGTGAGTAAAAACCTGCACGCTGATACACGACAGTTCTACAGCATAGATTATAATGTATGAATGTATTATAGAAACAATAAATTGGCATATCGACATTTCTAACTTCCTCAAAATAACAATTAACAACAGTTGAGTATAACATGTAACACTTGGCAGATACACTGTACGGTGTAATAACAAGCTATTCAGCAGGGGTTTCCTGCAAAAGAGCACCCAGAAGCACTACCCAGTATCATTATTATTTCTGCCCTGGGTCCTCAGACATCATTGTCACTGGGAAGCCAGTGGTGGAATCGCCAAAATGTCAACCATTTACTCAGGCTCAGATTTCAATAGCCTTTCTCCATAAGCAGCTGCCAGCTATTTGTTAGTTTGTTGTTAGGTCTTTGCTTTGCTCTGAGAGGTTTTTGTCCAGGTACTCTAGTTAACTCCTTTCCTCAAGAAAAAAGCACTTCCAAATTCCAATTTGATCTGGAATGCATGGACACCATTAAAAAAGTTTGTAAAGGGTTCGTACTCTTTCGAGCTGTTCAAATTCCATGACTTTCAACGACTTTTTCCATGACCTTTTCAAGTTTTCCATGACCTTAGGTTTGGTTGTCACTTTCCAAAACTTTCACAGTTTCCCTAGTTTGGTGGTATTCTTTGACTTTAACCAGTTCAACAGACACAAACTCTGGTGTCCACCAAAATACCTGCCATTTGCGCTGTTTAATTACTCCTCTGTATCTTACATTGTCCTTGCTTTGTCATCTGTAGTAACTAAACCACCAAACAAAACTTTAATTTTCCATGACTTTCCAGGCCTGGAAAATGAAATTGTCATATTCTATGACTTTCCAGGTTTTCCATGACCTGTGTGAACTCTGTTGTAATAACTGTAAACAGTTAAAAATTGTTTTGCACAAGTGGAGTAGGCAGCTGTGACCAGAAGATGGACCATAAGGTCCCTTTTCTCTTTCCTCAATTAAACCCCTGATCTCTGGGAGTGCTTTTCTGTGATGTCATTTTTTTGGACATCTTGAGTATCCCTTGAATTTTTTTGGCACCTTTTGGACTGATAAGGTTACATCACATACGCAGTATCACATTTAATTTTATTTCAAAACGGACGTGAAATATAAAGACTAACAGTACCTTGTGCCATGTTTGTTGATGTTGTCTTTGCTGTATCGTGGCATGGGATCACTGTCATGGTTGTTAAAATCATAACTAGCCTTTGGTTCATAATTTTGTCGAAGATCTGGATGAGTATACTCAATGCCATCATCTAGAATAGTCACAACTATGCCCCGCCCGGTGATGTTTTTTCTCCATACTGGGGTAACATTAATATCAAATCCTCTCGGACCTACTGTTTGTCCTACGAAGAAGCCAGAAAGCATTATTAGTTTAAATTCCTTATCACTACAGTGTATTATACAGTTACCGGCAAGTGGCCACCTTATGGAGGTTGGTCACTCGAAGGAGTTTGTCATAAATTCATTAGCATAATCTTTAGCAGAAACATCACTTTCTTTCAAAACAAACAGCAATGGGAGCAGTATTACTGGTCCACAATCGGTCATCACCTTCTATCTCAGACTATATTTTCCTTGACCATATTCTTAAAGTGAGGCTAAACTAAGTGTATCAAGCACTTAATGGCTGCTTAATAGAGGTGACAATAATGGGAGAATTCTCATTGCGGTAGCCAAAAGATGGCCGTGGCCGCTTCAAAAAGGTTCAATCCCTTCTTTCTCTTCTTTTTAAACACTGTTTGCATCACGTTATTTGATTCTGATCAACAGATTTTAGTACCTATGGTTATCTAGTTGTGATGGCTGAAGCTTTCAGCTTAACATTTAAAAAAAAGAGAAATTATGGAGAGGAGAAGAAAGGAAGCCTGTAGCCTATGCAAGCAACAGCTTTGAGAAGAGGAGGAAACAAGCACAAAAACAACAACAACTACTACATGTATGAAACAACAATTTAACAAAAAAGGAAAAGGAAAAGAAAAAAAACTGCAGGCCTAAATTATGAAACATGGGGCATCTTCACAAATCCTATTTGTATTTATTTTAGGAGGACATAATTATGGACCTCCTAAGTTTTGCATCAGCATAAATAATATTGTATGTTAATTCTCGAGTGGACCAAAGCCTCAAAACTTGAAACAAGCAAATATCAAAACCCAAAATATCTACTCTTCTTTTTAATAATCATGAATTTAAAAAATATTAGTTTGCTAATTATTAAAAACTGGAAACCAACTTTCACAAAAGCTCAAAAATAACAAAATTCAAGAAAAAATCCATCTCAAAATCAAAACTGTTTAAACCACAAACAAAAAAAACAAATTTGTTTTCAAGCGATTTCTGGGTTACATCAGAAGACATAACGTCGTCACCAAAGTGATATAGGCTACAGGCTGTGTGGATAAGAACTGATAAATGATTATATATAGCAATAAGCATCAATATCTCAGCCTTGGGAAAAATCAAACTAATATCACCTGGATATAATTTTAGAAGATCACATGCCAACCAGTATGATAGTACAGGCACGTGGAATGTTTTAAACAACTTGTTAAATAATTATGTAAAATGCCCAAATTCCTACACGTTTTGGTTACAATGGTCACCTTCAACAAAACCACATGCATTGAAATCCCTAATCATGTATAATCAACAACAGAAATGAGTGCTCACGAAAGAGGAGCGTAACTTGGAAAATATGGCGTAGATGGCTAATGGAGTCCATGTATTTTCAAACTGAAAATATAATTCTACAGAGTAATTCCTTTATATTAGAAAAGCATGCCTAACTAAGCCATCCAAATTTGCCCAAGCATATTACAGCTGTAGATAAACTACACAATTCGTACATTTTGCTTAAATTGCCATTTTCGGTTTCAAAGCAAGCCCTGGTAAACCACACTGTATACATGTTCAAAAAACGAAAGCAGATGAAAAAAGGTTTTGTGACTTGAATTCAATAATACATTTGTAATATACACTCATGTAAAAATGTATTTTATACCTCCAGTCTGCACTTAAAAATCAAAACATGATGCGCTCTCTACAAGACTTCAGTGCATGTTTAAGTTGGAAAAGCAAATGCTTGTCAGAATTATTACTCTGCTATTTCTATGATACTTGTAATACATCTTGAGAATTATAAACAGAAAGTGTCACAGGAGTTTCCTCCAAATCCTTTAAATGGGATTAAAGCTAAGTCCCCACTTCCCTAAGATTTTACTTTAGGTAAAAGGACAAGGATAATGAAGACAGGCAGAGAACTTTGTCAGTAACTTAAAAAATAAATACCAGTGATCAGATAAATAAATAGTATGCAAGGGATTAAAAATATGATACATCAACTTAAAAATTTATTAATATGGCACTAAATCTGTGAAAGATTTTATAAGATGACATTTGCCCCACAATGGAGTAGTTATCTCCCGCATTGCATCTGGTTGCAGAACAAATGCTACTGGGTCATAAAATGACAACATTGCCAAACTTGTTATCTTGTAGCTATGAAAAAAAAATCATTAATCCCTCTCAGATATTTAGTATCCATATCTTATAACACTATCAGGTCACTCATTGGTGTCCAAGTGCTGAAAGTCTCTAATTATTAAAGATTTTCAGGAAGCAAGATTCTGCATGTGTAAAACGAAGAAAGTTAACACGTACTCACACAGGACATAAAAGCATTTTAACAGACCCAAGTGTCAAGGTCTTTGTAGTCGAAGATTCACTGAAATTAGTATTTGCAAATCTTAAAAGGTCAGAACATGGGCCAGACCGTTTATTGATGTGCAATACTCAACTGAATTTCTGACATAATTTTTGCGTTTTTACACTAATCCTAGGTAAATGATTATTATTGACAGAGAGACAAGTTTTATTAAAATATGTGGCCTTCATGTCATAAAAGTATTCATAAAACAGCACTGGAGATTAACGACGACAAGACAGCACTAATTTTAAATATTGCACTAGTTAAATAGACCAAAGAATTTAGAAAAACACCTCAACCAAAGTACACACGTTGAGTACAACGCGAATTTCAGACCATAGTTTTTTTAAATGGAGTGGACAGAAAACTACAGTGTATGTAGACAACACAAACAAAGATGTCTAGCTATTGAAATGCTAACGGCTCGCTCTGTACGTTCAAGGACTTTTGTTTTTGCATAAAGAAGATCCCGTCAGAAATTCAATAGCTGAGCTTTCAGATGAACTGTAAAATTTCGATAAGATAAATGAGGCCACTGATGAAATCTGAACCACAAGTCAAACAAAGCGCCTGTAGAATGCATGGTTATGGGCTTAACTCGTTTCGTAAAAATAACTCGAGAACAAACGGGCAATATGGTTTAAGCGTCATTACTGCCTCGATTAATGTGTTTGATGTTAAAATAAAAACGATATTGTGCATACAAGGAAACAAAGAATATTCGCGTGGAATTTAACCTGAATGCTGAGGACAGCTTTTGCTCGAACTGATGTAAATTACACTCTGCGACAAAAAAAGAAGAGATAAAAGATCTGCCGCTAATTCACAATTGCCACAAACCACATAGAAATTGCTCTGGCAGCTCATTCTGTCTTAGAGCGAACTAGAAGTGACTCGGGAAAATATTTCAGCGAACTCAGATAAGTGAAATTTTATCAGAAACAAATGCGCTGTAATAAACACGTACCACATCCGTACTAATGGCGTATAATTCAACTCAAGTTGAATGCACCAAGTAAATTCATTTCTTCATAGGCTTGTAGCCTTTTAATACTCCCAAACAAGTATCCTCAAAAGCTAGGTCTAAAGGTGTCAACATGCATGCAAGCATGCAATGACAAGTTTCAAGCATAAGTTAAGCTTACTATGAATTAGGGCAAAGGGATCAGCGATATTCTCAGCGACATTTTCACTCACCTGAATTGTTTAAATACCACTGATCTTTGTAATAAGGATCTAAAAAATAGCCGCGTTTGCTCCTTCTCAAAATCTTTTGTTGACGAGCAAATTTAACGTGTGGTTCCCGAAGAAGATTGTCCGTGTGTTCTGCGGCATGCCGCCGCGATCGACGCGTTGCAAGTGTCTTGTGTTCAAACAAGAAGTGCCCATTAAAACCTTCAATCTCTCCTCTGTTGATAAAGCCCTTTCTTTCCGCCAAGTCATCGACGAATCTCTTTTCTCTTTCTACGTGGACCACCCATGTGTTGCTATAAACATCCCTTCGTGAATTGCGTTGCGGCTTCAAGGCAACACAGCTCAACAAAATGCATGCCAAAACTATTCCTCTTTTGGCAGAAATACCCATCTCCTTGACAAACGAGCTTCTTCTGTTCTAAATCGTCATGGTCTCATCGGTGACTTCTGATCAACAAGAAGCGAAAAAGTACAAGTTAGATGAGCCGCTTCGTCACCATCAGGCGTCAAATAAAATGAAAATCCTATGCTAGTATGCACAAAGAAAAATTGTGTAGATTCGGGAACTTTCCCGTGGTTCTCTGGTGACCTCTAAAACACGCAATACGTCAGAGTACACGTGAAACGTGAACACAATGCGTGTACGCGCGTGTGGCAACGGCTTGTCCTCTCACGATCGAAGAATACCTTGTCTTTATATTTCTTTTTGTTTAGCAGGATTTTATATATAGCAAGTACTGTCAGAAAATGCTGCTGAGAAGAATTTTTTCCACTTTCTGTTCGCACCAAATTTAAAACACCAGTTCTCTCTTTGTACCCAGTACTGCGACCGCGTGTCGCGGTCAGTCGGATTTCATGTCCTTTGCCCGGAGAAATTAAATATTCCCGATCTTTCCTTCCGCAAGGAAAGACGTACTTTATCCCGTTATGATCATGGAATTTCTAATCCACTTAAAACTGCTGAAAAAGCAGATATGAAGAAGTAGATCTAATTTATTTGCTTACTCTAGCAAGTTTGAGAGTCTAGATTTAGGGACAAGGAGCTCAGACGTTTTGAGCTAACATACCTTTCAAGTGGCGCTTTCGAAGAATTCTGACGCGCTCCCTCTTTACAAGACGGCACTTAAACCCTACACTGCGGCAAAGTACTATACACAGTACATTTGAAGCTTTTTTTGTTGTTTTCCCCGTCTCAATTTGTTTTCATCGGCGACGCCTCACAGACAAGTTGAATAATATTTTACAACTAATGGGCTAAACAAATATTCTGGGAGTCATAAAAATATACAGCAGGAAACCCATACATTGAAGCTCAAACACGCCGCAACTTGTAGAATGTGTCGGCTCTAGAGCTTGATCTTTTTGTCCTTTTTAGTAAACAAACAACACTTAGCACCAATACCGAAACCGGCGATGTGGTTTATTCAAAGAGGCAGGCATCACAGCCAATGGCTACTCACCAAAAAAGGACGATGTTAATCAAGATAAACAGACGATCAGGAAGTGCGATAATTTTTTTGAAAATTCAGCAGACAGCTTAAAATGTTAACACTTTTTAGTTTTGATGTAAAATGCCGCATGGCCTTTATTTAGCTCAGTCACAGTCCTTTCAGTTTTGAAGCTAATTTCGATCTATTTCTTGTTAAGAAAACGAAAGCTGGACTGTATATAGTGCGATACAGGCAACGCGGTCTATCAGGAAATGCTAATTATTCTTATAAGGTCGTGGGAATGGGTTTGTTTATAGGTTTTCTAGTTAATTGATTTTATGGTCTGTCGACTTCTTTGAAAGCTGAAAAAATTGGATGAGAGGACTAAAATCCACCAAAACAATGGAGCCAGATTAATTGGGAAAGACTATCGCATGAACCTGACCAGGTTATCCTGTTTATCCTGAATAGTGCCAGAATCTTGGATCATCTTAACATCCACATAGGCTGTGGGATCTTCCCATGGTCAGAATTTTCGAGAGAGTGCATAATCCGGATCAGAATCTTGGATCATCTTAACATAGGCTATAGACTAGCATCTTCCCATGGCCAGAATTTTCGAGAGAGTGCATAATCCGGGGGGGGAGTACTCAACAAAGTTTTGTTCGGGGAGGTTCCGCCCGGAGTCCCAGCCCCTGAGTCTGTTAGCTCTTTTAAGTCCTTTTACAGATCAAAATGACGATTCTCCTACCCTTTTATATACTTAAGTAAAATCCGTACCCTTTCATCTTGCCTCAGATACAACGGCCCTTTATAGGTCATTATAAGGAACACCCCAACCCCCGGGGGCATGATCTTCCTCTATGTCAATAATCGGATCCTGGTGTAGTTTATTTATGAAACCCAAAATATGAACATTTAAAAACGTTAACAGAGCCATTGAGCATCACTTGATTAGCCACCCTACTGGCAAAATTTAAAGCTGAATTTATATTGTTTGCCGGACAGATTTTGAGAAAAAAACCCAGACTGTTTTGTCGTTCAGGCCATAAACGACCCTTGGGGATTTTTCACTTTCACTTTTCGCGCCACAGTAGAAAGGACGCGCGCGCGCATTCCCCTCGCACGTTCTATTAGTGCATGCCGTTTTAAATTAATAGGCAGTCCGACTCAGTAACCATGGTAACAATATCATCGGACGACCCCACCTCATAGTCAATGGGTAAGGCTGATGAAAAAAAGGGCTATGTTATCTATTTGCTATCTTTTAACTGCATTCCAAAAATGATGGTCCAATTTTGTTATTCAAGACTTTACTTGGGCACTGAAACTGTTTGCTGTGGTCTGTTGTTAAGGAGGGCCAGGAGCCCATAAGGCTCCTGGGAAGGCCAACCTTGTTCCCGGCAGGGTGATTTCTCTTTGTGACCCTGGGATCGAGGTTGACAGACATGGATTGGAGCTTGAAAAAAAATGGACCAACTTCCGCAAGTATGCCAGCATGCCTGCACAAATCAGCAATTATGTCAGGAGCCCATAAACCGGAATGAGCAACTTCCATGTACTCTTGCCACGGCGTTTTCACCGACCAGTTTATTCTTAAAAAGATTTTGGTGCAAATTTAGTATCTCTTTAAGATCCACAAACAAATCTTCGAAACAAAAAGACCAAAAAAAGGTATTTTGACCAAAGACGATCAGTCATCCCCTTTTGGTATTTTGATGCTTTGAATGCGCTCATTGAGGGAGTGTACCTTCCATTTTCGCAGGGAAAAAGTGCTGTAAAATATATCTAAGAATAAAACGGTCTGCTGTTAGAACGCGGTGACATTAACCTGCGATAAGGCGGCCCTTCTTCTTTTTTTTTTTGTTTTTCCCCTTTCCTTGAAAAAAAAAAATATGTGATCGCAGGTTACCGTAAGATAGGCTTATTTATATAGTATGACTGTTGCTCTCTCAGAATTATGAGCACCTAGCACCTAGCACCATGAGCACCTGAGCATGGCTAATGCTCATGCTCCCTGGTGAAATCCTTTATATATCGCTAATCTAAGGAAAATCGCATAGGTGGAAACTAAGTATTTGAAAAATAAAACAAAATAGATCATCGAACTTCTTCCACAGACACCTTGATTGAGTAAAACAAACAAGGCTCTTTTATCACTCACAAAAATGGCTTTAATTTTCACCTTTAAAGTTTTGAGTAGATAAGATAAGAAGCACACAACATTCAAAATTCCTGGCGATGTGATCGTGATTTAGTGAACTATTCAAGAATTGACGAGTTAGCTAATTAAGCTGCTTTGCTAGCGATTATTTCTTATCAGGCAACTTAAGCCTCCCCCCTTTCCTAATACCGTGTTAAGTTTTCACGGCTCATGGGTTAGTCCGTTTGCGGTTTTCGAAAGGCTACTTTTACAGGAAAGTTGGAAAAAGGCTCTTTTTGTCGGTGCAGTTTAACTGTTTTCAAAATCATCCTTACGGAAGGAACTTTTTATACCGTTCTATTTTGACTGGCTCGTGGCGGCGAGCTAGTGGCGTGGAAACACGCAAGTCATTGATTATCACGTGTTCTATCAGTGATCCTGTTGAAAGGTGCCGTTATGACATGCAGGTAACATGTAAGGCCGGTCTTATTCCTCGATCTCCGTTTCTTCGTGGTATGATATGCGCGGAACTTCTTGCTGATCTATTTAGCGAAAAAATGACCTACATGTACTTGTATGCTAGGGTTGCGCACAGAGGAGCCTTGATTGTGTTTTGGGGTGTTTTGAGGCCTAAAGCAAAACGTTATTGAGATCAGACCGTTGAATAATGAAAAGACGTTAGCCTGTGAATACATTTACTATAAATCCTAAGGCAAACTATGGTCAACTTTGTGTCACAATCAATTTAGGAAGTGTGTTAGCATTAACAAAACACCGGAAAAACGAATAATTTGTTTCATTATTCCTGTAAGGGACGGACCATTAAAAAACTTATGGGGGGGGGGGCGGGCGAAGTACAAAAAAAATATTCGCGCAAGGCAAAATTGAATGAAAAAAAATTCATGCACGCCAATTAACCCTAAAAAATATTCATGCTAAGGCCTAAAAAAAATTCATACAAGGAATCTGATAACGAAAAAAAATTCCTGCGGCTCAAAAATTCCCCTCCCCCCCATAACTTTTCTAATGGTCCGTCCCTAAATTTGGTACACAAACAAAGAAAGAAGAAAAGATGTTGACACGTATACGTGTACATTTTGGCAACAAAATGGGAGGGGCGGGAAAGGGTGGTATTCATTTTTACAAAAACTGAGTAAATAAAAAAGCAAACCATCTCTCTCCGGAAACTTGGATGAAGCCGGCGAAGCCAGCGCCCAAAACTCGATTTTTTTCCCATCCTCAGGTATATTCAAACCGGATGTATCACTATCAAAATGCCAGTCGCAAGGGTTTGAAATTAAAGTGAGTAATCCTATCGATCGTCCACTGCGGATGTCAATCACAAAATAACATCGGCTTCAATTGTTGCGTGCTGATAACCTTCGATCAGGTATTCTTTTTTTTTTTCGGGAGAGGGCGAAAGTCGGCCGGACAGACAGACATGTATAGAGAAATGGCGATGGCATAATCTCAAGCCAGCACGTGCACGCTGAAAGAGTTTTCTCCCTGATAAACTGACTTAAAAGTTCAGAAAGTTCAGCATGGTTAACTGCTGAGTGCCCAGTTTGTAATACCCTACGAGCAGAGGCTCTTCAAAGCAGAGTAGGTTTACGATGGAAAGCCGCCTAAACCGCCGTAAAAGTTTAAATCCGGATTTAAGCTGCTGTTTTTATTTAAAGAAGCATTCATAGTTTATCAGGAGCCTATGACCTGAAGCGGCGTAGCCTGCGAGCATTTGGGCATTTCGCGGAGTCGCGAGAAGTCACTCGAGAGCAGCACGCGAAAGGAGACGCGAAAAGGCGGCATGATATTTTTTCAACCTCATTCCAGACACAGACCCATTTTTTGACCGCGCGCGCGCATTGTCTGAAGCTCACTGAAAGTTGAGTGATGCGGCATGGAATTTATTTCCTTCAGAGCTACATGTGCCCCTTACACACTAAACAATGTGATTACATTTTATTGTGCTGTAACGAGTTGAACCTCAGGGGCACCCAACGATGGTTTTCTCAGTAAATACATTGAAAACACTTTTCAAGTTATCCAGAGTACTTTTAGATATCTAGAAATGCATTCCAAGCAGCGCGCGATAAAATTTGTATCTGTTCAGTAATCCTACGGGAACTTGAGTCTTTTCGAAATTACCGTAAGGGCTTGAGTATTATTTTTCCAAAAATTTTAGATGAAATTTGACCTATTACGAAAGTAAGACATTTTCTGATTTTTAACATCACCACATTTTTGAATCCGATAATTTTAGGTTCCCTTTTTTCTACGGAAAATAGCCTAACTTGGGGCGTAAAATGTGAAAATTAAACTTCAGAAAATCGTAGGGAATCATAAGATAAGCTTTGGAAGCTGTACGTGAATGGAACGGTCATCTAGGAATTTTTAGCCGTCCTCAAGTAACAGAAAATTTCTAGGCAATATTTGTTTCTCCGAACAGATACTGTATACAGAAAACAGTCGTTGGGTGCCCCTGTGAAACTGATAATAAAGTAACACATATCAAACAGTTGCGCATATACTCAGTTATTACCCATGAAAAAGACGCAAGTTTTCAACCCGGCGTGGAAGTGAAAACAAAAGTGGTTGAATACAAACGGTCGCGCCGGAGAACTTTTACATTCGCGCGGAATAGTATTTAAGGAAGACTTGGGAGAAAAGCAAAGACAATATTGCGCATTCATAGTCTCATGATATTTTGATTCAACTTGATATAATTTGTTGACATAGTTTTAATTTTAGCGCCTTTGTCAGAAAAATTAACCATTTACGCCGAGTGAGAGGAAATGAAATTGTCGTTCAAGATCTGCCAAAATACCAAACGGACGCTTTTTCGTGTTGTCGTCTCCCATGATTTCTTTTGGTTTTGGTCAAAAACCTCTCTTTTTTTCTCAATGTTGCTGTGAAGTATTTTGAAAGTTATTTTTAGGGTTTGTATTTTATTTTAAGTTTCGTTTTTGTTTCATTAAGTGGGTCAAGGTTAGTCTGGATTTGTCCGCATAAGCGTTTTGCTATGTTGATCTTGTGCTTTTACTTTTACGTGAATTTTTGCTTAGCTCTCGGATTTACTTAATGCCAATATTGTTCGCTTGCCATTGACAGATGTTAGTTTTTCGTTGGTGGTCGTGTTTGTCATGTCAGAGCTGACCTCACCTTGGTTCATTAGTCTTGTTAAAGTTCGTGTTTGGGTTTTTAACCAGCGTTTCAGTTTTTCATTGGTTACAGTTCTTGCCGATCGCAACCACATGTAGGTTCAGTAATATCAAAACACTACCCACACCCTGATGTGTGATATCTTATTCCCACGTTCAAATAACCCAAACATGTCCAACTTTGGCTATAAAAACCGCTACCGTATACTTGAACTAGTTTAGAGTAAGGATTGAGTAGAGAAGAACAGTAAGAAGATTAAGATTGTAAGCAGAAGTCAAAAAAGAAGAAAGACCCAGATGTGAATTAGATTCTTGGAACCTCATCGTGTAGTGAGCGAGTTGCTTGAATACAGGCCCAAAATATTTAACCTCTACATTAAGCCAAGCATGCACGTTTGGCAATTTTCTGGGACTGTCTGATACCAGTATTATGCAGCCATTTCATCGTAGTCGCATCCCTTATGGAAAAATACAGTCGGGTTATATTGCTTCCTTCTTATATTAGAGCAAGGAATTTGCTTTATATGTAGGTGAGACGCAGACACTACAGTCACGCCTATAAATACAAGGGGATACGTATAGCTGCCATATTGTCCCTGATCTGTAGCTCAATTTGTCTTGATAATCAATGACTGTAATCCGGTTTTAGGGTTGCAAGAACCTGTCTACTGAGAGAAGTCCGAAACGAAAAATATTTAAAAGATTTGTCGGTGAAAATTATGCAGTACTGGGTTCCTTACTCTTACAAACTAAAGTCGCACAAGCCAACATTTCCCCCCAATTAAGGTTTCCGAGCCAACATGTTACCTACCATTGACGTAAAAGCTATGTCGACGCTACAGTCAGCGCTACAAAGTTGACGCGGTTGTAATATAAAACAATCATTTTGCAACTTTGTTATGAATTCTAAAGGAAATCAAATCACTAGAGCTGGTTCGCGGAAAATATCAATGATATGATACCATGCGATACACCAGAGTTGGTGGAAAGTACATTATTAAACTTAAGATGACCGTTTCATACGAAAAAATTTTATCTTTGAACCATATCTAGAGCCGTTCAAGATAAAACGGGAATTAGTCGGGGCCAAGAACTAAAAACAGTGTAATTTATCATCCTAATCAGTGACGATCCGCAGCCCAACGAGAACACTGTTTTTAAAGACTGATATGTTTATAGGGTTTGAAGGAGGCTGAAAAAAAGCGGCAGCATGGGACCTTAAGTCGCCGTAAGCTAAGGCGATTTAAGGCGACTTTCCTAAAATTTGCTCAAAATGTTAGGCGATCTAACGCGACTTTAGGCGATTTAATGTGATCTTAGACGACTTTAGGCGATTTAAGGTGACCTAAGGTAAATTAAACGTAAGTATATTTGAAATTGACATCTCCTGAGAAAAACACCTCTCTATGGACACAATATCATAGCATAAGTTAATTCAATCTTGGATGTACCTAAATTCTGAGTGTTCACTTGTCAGCATTTTTCATGTTCATAAATAACAATAATTCAAAAGAGATAACAATAGCAATAAGTTAATGAGTTGGTTATGATACAGTATAGTCTAAGAATGAGAACTCTTAACCACGCAGGGCGCACAGCATAGCCTATGTGGAACTAAATTACTCTACAAAACGAACTTTGTTATGGAATCCCGAAATGGAACAATACAATGGCAAAATTTTAAAAATTAATAATTATTATTATTATTATAACCATAATAATGGTAATAACAATAAAAAAAGATAAAAGTGAAGAGAATAAAATGTAAATGAATATCTAATGAATAATGTAAATGAATATCTGTAAATGAAAAAAAAATTATTTTCGAATCTAGACTAATCCTAAAAAAAGCACTTAAAACGTCAATTCTGGGACCTCATCGAAACACGGCCCTTATACGTCCTTTCCGACAGTTAAAAATCAGTTGCTTTGAAAGTACGTGCTCCATATATTTAAAGAGCACGAGATTGTGGCTTTGTGCATTCTTCGCAAAACACCCTTTGCCCTTGCATCAACGAGCTTCTTCATAGTCATGATCAGCTCGAGGTCCTTTGAGCACCCTCCTAGGTTATCAATGACAATATTACATTGCTTGATGTTATCTATAACTTGGGTATTGCTTCCTCAGCTACGTACACTGCCCAAACTTTCGTTTCCTTATGATCCGCATCCACTCTGTTATCCTTGACACAGGTATGGTGAGCGTAAACCGGCAAATCCCAGTAGGCTTGCGCATCAGGTGACTTAAGAATATTCAAGGAGGCGCTATTATTATTATTAGTTACCAATATTTAGAGAGGACATACTCCCTCAACAGTGCTGATATCAACGAAAGTTTTCGTAAGTTAAAATTACATATAAGAATATAGTAAAAGAAAGAAAGAGTAGATACTTGCAAAATGAATTATACTTGAAAATTACAAAATAACGGTTCTTAAATAATCAATTCTGTGTCACTATATGTTCCCTGCAAAGTACTAATCTATTTCCGAAAGATATAGCTTTCGAAAATAACTGCGTGAACACAGTGTCAATCTTCCAGTAAATCTCCATACATCCACCCTGTTAGCCTTGACACTGTCACAGGTATGGTCAGCATAAACCGACAAATCCTAGTAGGCTTGCCCATCCGGTGACTTACGTATCTTCAAGGAGGCGCTATTACTATTATTAGTTACCAATATTTAGAGAGGACATACTCCTTCGACATTGCTGATATCAACGAAAGTTTTCGTAAGTTAAAATTGCATATAAGAATATAAAAGAAAGAAATTGCAGATACTTGCTAAATGAATTTATACAACAAAATTACAAAATAACGGTTCTTAAATAATCAATTCTGTGTCACTATATGTTCCCTGCATAGTACAAGTCTATTTCCGAAAGAGACAGTTTTCGAAAAATAATATAACTGCGTGAACAAAGTGTCAATCTTCCACCAAGTCTCCGTCTAACAAAGTAAACGTCGATGGTAGTCGAACCAGTTGCTCCCGCAGCATTTCTAACCGCCTTTGCATCACTGTTGGAGGATCTTCCTTGCCATCTTCACTTCCAAACTTTCTTGCTGTTGCTATAAATGGAGTTGCACTAAAGTCAGGTGATTTACTTTCTGAGACGACACTGTCTGTGATTCCCATGTGCATTTGGAGTGTACGCACGTAGTCAGCCAGCACCACTGTCTTGGGATTGGCTTTCGTGCTTTTAGCTTGTGATTGGCTGAGAACTTTTTCTCTTATCAACTTTTGCAACTTACCAGCGCTCAAAGGAGTCACCTTTTCCGTTTTATAAACATCATTTTCTTCATTTTTCTCCATGAATTTCTCTTCCTTTAGTACGTCTTCGCCAATTGTAAAACTACACTCACGGTGGGCCACCAAATCGTCTCTTTTATTCAAACGACTGGTTTGTTTCTGTAACCGGATCGGAAGAATCACTCTGTTCGTTACTGCTTGAATAAAATTTCTTTTTTTATTACCAGTCCCTGATACTCCCGACGAGGAGCTTTTTGTCTCAAATTCTTTTTTTGCAATTTCAGAATGATTTTTTTTGTCACTCTTGGATTCATCAAATTTTTTCTCCAAAGTAGTAAAGCCCTGAGAGGTCTTCCCTAGGGCAACTTTTCTATCTTCTTCCCGATCGTGGTAAGCGACCACCTCGTAGTCCGAAAGTGCTTCTAGTTCTCCTTTCTTCATACTTTCTCCTAAGCAACTAGTACAATATCTATCATGCAGTGTTGCGTCGTTCTTTTTAGGGCCTACAAATGCTCCCTGGACATTTCTTCTTCTTGTAATACCGCTTGAGCCTTTTCTTGCTATAGGTTTTTGCGAGGGAAAGACCTCCTGATTCTTTACATGCCGAAAATCTTTTCGATAGTCCTTTCTATCTTTCGTGCTCAAAACAGAGGATCTTTGGAATGACATACTCATTGTATCACCTGTAGGCGAGGTAAACTGGTTTTTGCAAATTTGGGACATTGATGATGGAGTATGCCCATTGACCATTTTACCTCCTTCCTCAAAACTGTAAATTAAATAATGGAAAGTCATAAAAACTGAACAGCAGTTAAGTAAAGTTCACCAGAGCTTCTATTTTCCATAGAAGCCATATTTTTACAACTGAATCATGAGAGGACTGTATAATTTCAAAAAAACAGAAATTAGTGTTATCTATTTTTGTTGGGATAGAAATTTGCGATTTAGAGCTAAATGGAAATTTAAATGGTCCGTTTTATATACTCGAAACAAAGACTCCAGCCAGAAGAACCTAGGCGAGCGCATATATCTGGGACTGAATTAAGTGTGGGTTGTTTAGGGGTTTATGCGATGTTCCAAAGGGGAAAACTGCCGTGAAATTCATCCGAAACCTGACGCAGTTTACTCACGACTGATAAAAACGTCTGATAAAAATCAAATCAGTTTTGATATTTAGTGAAATTCGTGAGCAATTTCGTGGTTGCTTTGGTTTTGCATTGCCTTGCCTTGTTTCAGAAGTTGGCTGACTCATCTGGCATATCTTCAGTCAAATCTTACCGCATCTTTTCGTCCCCTGTTGTATTTGACTCGGTTGGTTGATCCTATTTTCCTCGATTGCTGTGATTTGCCATAGTGACTATGGTCTAATGTGGCTACAAAATATGCGCCCTTAACTCATTGTATTGGTGACGTTGAGAGATTATTTTGGGTGACGAATTTGGCCCCAGTCTCCCACGAAACCTTATAATTGCCAATAACATAAGGGATACTATGCCCAAAACGACTCCATCAAACATCAACTACGCGCGCAGTCTCAAGGACAACCTCAAATCAGCCAATAAATTAAAGTCACAAACAAAGGTACCTGTTCGTAGGTTTTCCCTTGTAACTCAAACTACCCTTTAACATATTTATCCTGGTGTACACTCCCACAGTATCCTCCAACTGCATTTCTCGTTGCTTATCGCCTTGTAGTTGCTGCTGCTGTTTTTCCTTTGAACGCATGGACTTCCGCCTTAAGATCTCACGTTTTACTTCACGCGGGATAGCCATTCCCTGCAAAGACTGCAGACTAGATTGAGTAGAAGGTCTAGTTCCGTGATCCCGAGTGTTCTCCGGAGCAAGAGGACGACGAATGCTTTTGATTTGCCGACAGTCACTCTTAGCTTGCATTCCTCGTGAAGAAGCTAGCTGATGGTGTGTATCTCCAGAAATAAGACTTCCTAACGGTGTTAAACCTGCCAATCAAAGGAAAAGGTTAAAAAATACAACAAGACGCTGTTCAGGAACATATACAGTGCCGGTTCCAGACCTTGAGATAAGGGGAGGGGGGTGGTCATCCAGACCCTTAGATAAGGGGGAGGGCCCGGTCTCCAAAAAAACTTTTTTCGGCCCTTCGGGCCTCAGGTTGGTCTAAAAATAAGGTGGGGGGGGGAGGGGGACCGGGCCCCCGGACCCCTCCCCTGGATCCGCCACTGATATATCCCCATGTAAGGGAATCCAAGACTGTATTGGATTCTAGATTCCACTCTGTGGATTCCGTAATTCAGGTACTGGATTCAGGATTCTTTGTCAGTGGAACTTGGATTCCGGATTCGAATCGTTAGTGGGATTCCGGAGTCCTTGAGTTGTATTCCAGATTCCACAGGCAAAAATTTCCTGGATTCCGGAATTCAGAATCCCTAACATGGGGCAAAACATATCTGCTTTTTCTTTTGGTGACCACACGTGTAAGCGATCAACAGAAAATAAAGAGAGTAGACCAGGGCCGGGTTGTTCGAAGGTGGGTGAAGATAATCCAGGGTTAGTGTGAATTTAGACTCAGATATGAGAGCATAAAAAGCAAATTCAGTTTAATTCTCTTTACCTACAATTTTAAGATTGGATACTCTAAAAAAAATATGGGAAATCAAATTTATATTATTTTGCCTTGGCTGTGTTCGACGCTGGTTTTTTACTGGGGCTTTAACATTGAAAGAAAGTTCGCATACATTTCTCGAAACTCACTGCGAAACTGTAATCCGATCTCTTTCTTGCTGTTGCTGTTGTTGCTTTTTTTTAGGAGCATGTCTTGGGCGGAAGAAATCTGCAGAGTATATTTTTAACCTGTTTGTATGTAACTCTCGTTCTATTGACGCACTTCCTAACAGGTGGTTACCATAAGTGTATATATTCTAAGGTGTGCAGTCTTGCTTAACGTCTTCCCTGTCGCACATATTGTAACAATTGTTGCATCGTTGGTTATAAACGAGTATTGCAAAGTGCGAAAAATGCCTGAGATCACAACAATCAAACAGGTTAAAAGATCGATCATCGAAAAAGATCTACGAATACGTTTCCTGGCGTTGACCTCTCGATGTATTTACTAACGTTCTTTGACATACCTTCTCTTTGGCAGTTTAGGTGAAAAACAACTTGTTCGAGGTTACTTTTCTCTTCTCGGTATTCTTTCAAATTACGTCTCAATTCTTCTTTGAACGCGTCAATTTTCCGTAGCAACAAGGCATTTTCTTTTCGAGTTTTGCTATAACAAACATTTCTTGCTGTGTTGGAGATAGTTCTTGGGTCCAAAACGTAGGACTTTGAAAAGAAGGTCCTCGGGAAGTTGTTATCCGTTTCGAGATATTTTTTTTGAGCCACACCATAAAAACTCTGGTGTCTAACACTACAATCCATGTTTTAAATTACTTAACTGGGTGTCGAATGCATTTCTTTCAATATTTTACAATGTGTTTGCAGCTTTCAACTTTAAAAAAAAAAAACTGCTTTTGTGCGATTGGCTCAAGCAGTGAATGATATGCCCCAGAAACTAATTAAAGATAAAATCCACTTTTTTAGCAAACCGTGCAGGTGTTAAGTGGCCACGCTTGAATTGACAAACCATATTGTCCGTTTTCTTATAGTCGACTGTTAAGCGATACACTGGAATTCTCTTCGCTGAAACACTCTTTGGATGAATGTTTCCAAGGATCATATAAGTTCTAGCTTAAATTTATTTTTTTAAAAATCTTTTTAGGCCAGTTCTCACAACGTGAAAGGGGAAAGATAAATGTTATTTGAATATTCGGCTAATGGATTTTTTATTAGTCTACTAAAAAGTGTATTATAAGCATTCCTTTCACAGCTTGAGATAAAACTTTAAACTCAGTTAACCATCATTGTATAGCTTCGGTTAAAATAACGCCAAAAACAAAAACAAAACAAAAAACTTTGCTCAACTAGAAAACCAAATCAAAACCAACAGCAGCAAAAACACAAAGACAGTGTGATACTCGCCTGACTACCAATGCAATTTTGCCTCGTGTTTTTGTTGTTTCATTTGCTAAATCCTCATCTTAAATCCTCTCCTCTTTACAAAGATGATATGTAATTTCACATTAGGGTACATGTCTAGATCAACATTGTAAAGGGGAACCGGGGAAGAGTGAAGGGAGGCAGAGTAGTGTTTAACGATTTTTGCTGGAGTTAGAGATTGTAGCTTCGCATTCACTCGTAAAAGTGCAAAGAGTAAGTCTTTTTTTAAAGTAATGTATTACACAGTCGTATCCCCTTGATTGAGACGGCTGTATCCGCAGTCTAATAGATTTTCTCCTCGTGGTCCCCATGCCGTGCAGCTTGAAAATTTAGAACAGTAACTTGTGGCTATTTTTTCAAAATATACCCCACTAAAACATGGAAAATTCAGTTCCTGTCAAAACGCGCTAAAACAAATCATTCAAGGTTGGCCTGGAGAGGGGAGGGGTGGGGTCGTATAGTATATGCCAATTTACCAGTGGAAAATAGCATATATGGACAAAAGACCAACATTTTCCCTTAACAACCTGCTGACTTTTAAAGATTGAAACTTTCCTGGGCAAAAATGTTAATGCGGTTTGACTTTTTCGTAAGGTCTATTTATGTTCTTTAAGCTGACAATTTCATTATCGGAAATGCTGGGGGAAGACTAAAATATTTCTAAGCAAAATCGTCGAAGGAATCCACTTTTTTTAGTAATGTAAAAAAGATCAGGGTCGATGAATGGTTTCCCAAACAATATGGGTTCAAGGTCAACGAAAAGAACGGATACTGTTAAGAAGAAGCAAGGCTTAGGTGCTCCTTACATGAGGGAAGATCTTAGCCCCAGGAAGATCATAGAAGCCGGATTATCTGAGCGCCATGCCGTAAAATTCGGAAAATAAGCTCCGGGGCTTATATTTTTCAAAGGCCCTTTTTGAGAAGCTTATTTTTGGAGGGGCTTATTTTCGGAGGGGCTTATCTATGAAGGGAAATTCGCGTTTCAAAGTCGATTGGGCTAGCCTCATAGTTGGAAGGAAATTTACCGTTTTTGCTTTGATTTACTTTGTATCTGAGGACAATTTCCAAGTGCATGCCTCCGGAGGGTTAACGGATGGTCTTTTGCGTTACGAGTTTGGGGGGCTTATATATGGAGGGGCATATGCATGGAGGGGATTATTTTCGGGATTTTACGGTATGTTTTCTGCATTCAGTTTACGTGAGAAGAGTTGTACTTGCCCCTAGCGCTAAGATCGTCCTAGCTAGTACTAGGGGAGGTAGGAAATCCTAACACAATGTAAACTACTTTCGCTAGGAAGACTCTTGACTAGTAATAGGGACCAACGAGACAAGAATGGAGCGGTTCGTTCAGTGGGTAATCAAAGCAATGAAGGCCAACCATTTCGTTTGGCGTTACTACGAGCAGATAATTGTGATAATTCTGCTGAAAGGTGGTTATTAACGCCAGTAAATAGAACAGAAGGGCCCAATTGCTGTGCCCGCCATCTTTAATTCCGCCCATACTTGGTAACCACTCGGGCCGAATTTTCTAGCTGCATCTAAACCCAACCAAAAAAGTTGTTCCGCGTTCTACGATCTTTTCCCAGCTCCTTATTGTGCACCAAGGAGAATGATAGATGTTTTTTGTAAGAATTTAGACGCGACTTTGAAAGAGGGAAAAATCGATAAATATCACTTCATACTCCTAAATTCCGAGGTCTTTTCGGGAACTAACTTGCCATTCTTACCAGTTTGTTCCAGGCGAAGATTGTAAAGAGCCCATTGCAGATTTCGCATGTCATCCTCATAATGCCGAATTCTAGTTTCATTGTCTTTTCGTAAATCGCCTAGCGTGGACTGAAGAACACCAAACTCGCGCCTGTCTCTGCACAAAAACGACCGCTTAGCATCTTTTTTGACTCCAAAGATATCCATTGTTTCCTCTCTGCAGCGAGATTCATTTTCTTTAGTAATCTGAATTTTCGCTGTTGTTGATAAATCCATTCTTTGACCGGCGCTGGGAAGGCAGCTTACAACTCAAACTGCTTTAATTACAAACTACACTGACGGTTCTCTGTAGTGAGATAAATTCGACTGTGAATATATAAAGCAACTGTTCACAACGTTTGTAAAAACATTTCATCGCTTCCATTCCGCCGTCTTAAAATAGCCACTTCAGCTGCTTCTTGTTTTGTAAATAAATCAATTAAAAATTGGAAAAGAAATGGCAAGAATATGGAGTCACATATCGAGAGCTCAGCTTCTCCGGAAATCTATGGCCATTCAAGCGGCAAAAAAAGAAAGGTGGGTTTGATGGCTGATTTCATAAGCCTGCACGTACATAAAAGAAAAAATATTTACTCATTAAAGTTTTCTTTCTCTAGGCCGGAGGTTGCCCCATTCATTTTTACAATTAGTTTTACTTAAGCAACTCATAAGTTGACAATTGATGAAATGCTATATGCTGTAGTGATACCTTTAAAATAGAAGCTATTCCTGACAATTTGTGTTATGCTGATGATCAACCTGATTCTAAGTTTACATGTAAAAACCATTTTATCTCTAGATTGAATTATTAATTACTGGTTCTAACTTTTGGGTCTGTAGAAGAAATTGTACGAAGAAAACGTTGAAACAAACCTCTTTGGCTGCTTTTTTGCATAAAACTATTACGTTTCTTACCCTGTTTTAAATAAATGAAATTTTGGATACAAAATATACCTCTCAGTTTTTGACATTTGAGCTAAAATATAATGCTCTCAAATAGTAGCGAAATGATACTTCCGAATGATTCTTCACGGTCCTTCATAGCTCCTAATGCCTAAGCGTGTTAATTAAAAAAAAATCCCCAAAGCTAATGCAGGTTGATTTTTCAGTAATCTTATTTATTTTCGGACATTCAGCTTTGAAACAATTTATCATGTTAGTCAAATAACATTCGTCGATTATTTGTGATGAAACAATCTGATAAATAACGCGTGTGTAACTAGACCAAAAGGCTATGAAAATCAGTGATTTTCTTTCCAAAGTAGAACAAGAGAGAATGAGCGAAGAGATCATTCTCTCTTGACCAGAATCATTGAACTATCGCAAATCAGCTGTTTTTCGTCCACTGGAGAAAAAAAAAAACTCAGTTTTACATATCACGATATTTTTTTTTTTAAGTATTCCATAATTAACATTCACATTCTGGCCATTTTTTGACGAGGTGACCTGATCGATGATTCTGTCCCCACTACGCTACAATATAACAAGTTGATTAGTATGCGAGTTTTGATAGCAGAATTGGTGTGCCTAATATCAATTTTCGTATCCTTTTAGAATTCCACGCTTATTGTTACAATCCATATGAATGTCTCATTATACAATGGAAAAGAGCGACTCGGGTGAGAAGATATCAACAGACAGGAACGCCAGGGGACAACCTGGCTCCCAGGCACCGCAGTCATGCGCAGTCATGTTTGCGACGTTGCCCACCATCAAGTCCACCCTTAGGGTCCCTTTGAACGAATCCACTATGCTTGTCCAACATCATTAAACATTGTTGGAAAATCATCCAACATTGTTAGACGTTAACGTCGTCAAACAACGTCGAGAGATCACGACCAGCAGCAAACAAACACGCGAAACAGATACATCAATTTGCAGTTTTA